ATGGTGAATAAACACACATCTCGTTTCTTCCCCCAAAAAAATATATAATCTTCTTCACATATTTCTTCTATGATCCCAACTCTCCCCCCCCCCCCCCCCCACTTCTATCCTCCCCCACACACACCCTCTTTCGCATTTGACTCTTCCAGAACTTTTTTTTACACTCAAAGGGCGAGGTTATAGTAATAATAATAAAAAAAATCACAAATCGTGAAATGATGAGAAGCTGCAGGTAACAGTGCAGCAAATAGAAGAGAAAGAACTTGTGTGGTGATTTGTCTGCAAGGAACATAGGAACAGGAGTTGGACATTCAGCCCCATGAGCCTGTTCCGCCATTCTATTAGATTATGGCTGATCTGTACCACAACTCCAATAATAATAATCCTTGCATTTGATATAGCGCTTTTCACGTAGGGAGGACGTCCCAAAGCGCTTCACAGAACACACTGTAAAGCGAATTGACTGTATATTTGTGGGCGAACGCAGCCAATTGCGCACAGCAATGTCCCACAAACAGTCATAGATTGAAAATGACCAATTTATTATTGTTTTTGGTTTTGGAGGGATTATTATTAGGCTCTGTGTGGAGTAAGGAAACTTGCCCAAGGTTTCGCCCTCTGCCTGGAATTGAACTCAGGTCTCTCACTTGCAAAGCGAGTGCTCTAACCACTGAGCTACAGGACTCAGGTTGTGTTTATTCAGTGCTGTGTGTGTGTGTGTCTGTCTCTGCAACTTCCAACACAGAAATCTCTACCCCATTTTCTGTGAAGTGTGGAAAGAGGAATCAGGCGACACGTCCCTTCCACAACACAACACACATCAACTTCCATCCGACAAGGATATATATCAACGTCGAGACCAACCACACATTGACAGGATGAGAGAAGGGTAACATTTACTTAGGGTTTTTGTTTAAGAGAGGGCTCGAATTTAATTTAATTCTAACAGATCTCCCAGTTTAAAGAGTTTGAGGCACGTTTTTCTAACGACCACAAATTGCCCGACCTTCAAAGTTAACGCTTCGAGTCGTTTTAGATTCTGTTGAAGCAGATGGAATGACTGGGACTCAACACAGTGGAGTCAGGGAGAGAAAGAGAGACACAGGCAGTGTGTGTGTGTCTGGGTGTTTGCCCAGATCGTATTCTCTGCTGTAATTATTCTTTGCAATTCAGAAATTTCCCATTTTTTGAAAAAAAAGACCAATTAAAGGATACATTTAACAAACCCACATCTTGAGGTTGAGATTTTAACCAGATTTTAAAAGCTCCTTTTTAAAATGTCTCTGACGCCTCCTTCCCCTTTCTCTTAAAACACCGGTAATGAACAATGAGATGAACACGTTATGAAACGCCAGAATATGTAGAGATGTTACAACCCAATAAAGGGTTGGGCCCACGAAATACAGTCAATTCACATTGCGGTGTGTTCTATGAAGCACTTGAAGACATTGATTTTAATACTAATTTGATCGCTCAATCCACGATTATTTGTTGGACGCTGCTGTGTGCAATTGGCTGCCACCTTTTGCCACAAAATCCAGTCACTCCACTGTACAGTATATTCTGTGAAGCGCTTTGAGCCATCTCAACATCGCAAGTATTATTATTATTATTGTTACCAGCAACAAAATCACCACCTTGTGAAAAGGAATGACATATTATTCTCACACGTCTGAAGGGTGACAGCGATAGAGAAGGTGATGATAGTAAGACACAAAACAGGGAGGAAAAAATTCAGCTCAAATTGGTTGGGGGGTCAGTTTATTTGCGAAAACATTGTGACAGATCTTTTAATCCCATTTCCCTGCCTTTTCGCCAATCGCCTTTTACAAATATTTCCCTGCCTGTCTGTGTCTGTGTGTGTGGTACATATCGAAATGCAAAAGTTAATAACTCCAAAAAGACGAGAGGAATAAGGGGTGAATTGTCTTTACAAAAATAGGTGTGTGACCCTCTAGTGCCTGTTTCATGCCCTTGATCCTAAGACTTGTTCTGGTGCCCCCATCTCAGCCCCATCTGATCAATTACTTATTATTATTATTAATTATTATTTTAGTTCCAGTCCAATAACACACTCCCAGTCCCCCATATACTGCATCAGACATTTGCTATTCCCCAGGAACAGTTACAAAAAAACTTGAGCACACATGACCGGAAGTGCCTCGTCAATTTTCTATCGGACACTCAGAACATAACAAACAACAACAATGACTTGCATTTATATAACGCCCCTCGCAGGGTAGCGTCTCAGAGCCCCACTCTCTAGCACACACTTGTTGCGGTTAAATCCACGACTGTTTGTGGGACGCTGCTGTGCGCAATTGGCTGCCGTGTTTTGCCCTCAAAACATACAGTCAATTCACATTACAGTGTATCCTGTGAAGCGCTTTGAGACGTCTCAACGACGTGATAAAGCGCTATATCAAATGCAAGGCTTATTATTATTTATTTCCAGATCATCAACCTCGTTTTGATTGTCACTGAGGTTGCGACCAAGTGGAATCCAAACCCTATATTCTTTGGAAAGAAAACCATATAACAGTTTGCGAGACATTTCTGGCTGAAACGAGCAACTGTGTCTTTGCCTGTATAACTTAATTCCTAGTCAACGTTAGTTGGTAGAATGGTTGAATGCTTTTTTGTACATTAAAAAGGTGCTATATAATTGCGAAAATGCTTAACCCCTCCCGCCCTCCCCCCAAGCAAGCACTCGGTTGCTAACGTAAGGAATTTGCTGCCTGTGTAAGGATGCAGCATTTTACAATCTTCCTCTGAATAAAACAACTCAATGGAATATTGATGGGTTGATTTTTTTTTGCAGAGACGTGACTGCAGTTTTTCTTCACTCAAGAGGCTTTAAGGGGGGGAAAAAAGTTGACCAAGTGTGTAGGAGACAGTTACGGCTAAGTGCACACACAGCAGCTGATTAAACCGAGCTCTCTCTCTCTCTCTTATATTTATTTATTTATTTGGAGAAAATCCGCTGTTTAACTGGGCTTGTTAGCATGTGAAAGGTTCTGGTAAATCCCTGGGTAGGATTCTCTGCGTCTCAGGGTTAATGAAGTGACGGACAGAGTCTCTCTCTTAACGCTGGAACAAAACAAGAGGCACAATAAAAAAATAGAGAGGATTGTGTCAGGATTGACTTAAAACCAGGGGATGATGAAAGCGCCTTTTAATCTCATTGCTTCATAATGAAATCAAAGAGAGCAGGCAAAGTTTTAAATTAAATGCATAAATGCCTCCTTTATACAAAAAATAATCTAAAAAAAAGTAACACTCCCTTACGAGGATGCGATTTTTACAATTAAACCCAACGTTTCAAATGTGGGGATAATTTGCGTCTTTTTTTGTTATTTGGGATGATCTGCAAAAACAAACCAAGCATAACACAGGGTCTGCCCGGAGACAGCACGGCTTGTAAGTTCATCAGCAATAAACCCATGAAGGAGCCTAGGCTACGGCAATCAGTCAAACTGGAGAAGTCAGATCACACACACCTTCTCAGTTTGATTTTTTTAAACTCAATCCGCGACTGTTTGTGGGACGCCGCTGTGCGCAATTGGCTGCCGCGTTTCGCCCACAAAATACAGTCGCTCCACTTTACTATATTCTGTGAAGCGCTTTGAGACGTTTCAACGACGTGATAACAAATTACATTTGTGCAGTGGCTTTCACACGGTCCTATATCAAATGCAAGGATTATTATATCATTTCCTCTGATTTTTCCGTCTCAGTTTTTTTGTACCAATTAAGAGGTTTTGAATTAAAAAAAACCTCCGCGGACAATTTTGATATAAATATTTGGAATAACTTACGCCGTTTTCGATTGTAAGAGATCTGTATTTACATTCTTTTTTACGTATAAAAAACATTCCTTTAAATAAAGACAGCGCCGTCTTCATCCAACAAAAAAATCTTTCTTCTGTTTTCAGTGACGTTTTCTTTCAGTTCAGAACAACCCACTGAATGTTTCTGACATCTGCCATGGGTGTCTTTCTCTCTGTGAATTCACACCGACTGGACACTGAGCACAGCTCCTGGTTAGATCAGGAATAGAGGCTGGATTTACAGGTATTGACAAAGGGGAGCTCAGGGTGTTTGAGAACATGGACAATGTAATTTAGGTTAAAGATTTTCTGGCAAACTAACACAGAACAACTGGTTACCAGAAGCATCACCATACTGGCTGGGGGAGTCTAATAAGTTAGGGAGTGATTTTAATAATAATACTTGCATTTGATATAGCGCTTTATCACGTCTTTGAGATGTCTCAGAGTTTCACAGAAAACACTGTAAAATGAATTGACTGTGTATTTTGTGGGCAAAATGCGGCAGCCAATTGTGCACAGCAGTATCCCACAAATAGATAGTTAACCTATCTCATTTATTCACCACACGGATGCACAACTTACATGCCATGTCGGATGTATTTAGGATTTTTAGTTGACCTGGTGTGTGAAGATTGTTTTGATTTCAGCTGATTAGATTCCTGCATCACCCAAGTATTCACTGACGAGGGCATAGTACACAGTGCCAGTCTTCTCTTCACACCGGACCACTGGCACATTTTCTGACAGTGGATAAGCCAACAAATACAGTCACTACATTTGACAACACTTCCCTGGGAAGCACTTTGTGCCATATTAATGTTATTTATAGCATTCAAGTGCAGGCATTATTATTGCAGTAACTTGTGCAGATCTGGTGCCTGAGTTTGTATCCAGTGCAGTCAGTGAGGAGGACGTTGCCTTGTCTCCTTTCCTGCCTGTGCCAATGAGTGGCTCACATCAGCGTCCAACACGCACTGGTTCCACACTCAACAGCGCAATGCAAGGTCGGTTAGCGTTAGTGTGTGTAATCCCGAACCTACACAGCTTTCTCCCTTTCAATGTGGGAGCTGAGTTTAGATCAAACCAGACAGAAAGGTAAGCAGGCTGTGGGGGGGGGGAGGGGGGAGAAAGCTTTGTTCAGGTAAAACGATAAAGAAGTGAATCCAATTTATTGCACACAGACAGATTTATTTCATCCTCCCCTAAAAAAATTCCCAGATGAAGTCCGCTAATGTCCAGCATTTCAGTTCAGCAGTGGGCTGGTAGTGGAGCTCCAGTGCTCTGGGGTTAGCTCCAGTGCTCTGTGTTGCTGGAGTTCACTAACTCAGGTCAGTTGTTCACTGACCCCCAATCGCTGATGTTTCCGCTGTTTCCTGACACTCGACAAGGTGGGTCCAAGTCCGCTGGCGTATTCCGACTGAAGCATCCTGGTCAACCGCATCTTGTAGGTGGCTTTCCCAGTCAGGCCAGAGCTGAAAAACGGCAATGAGAGGTCAGGATAACAGGCAATCATAACAAGTCAGAGGAACAATTGTTGATGGGAGGTGATGTTAAAGCACAGAAACAGGCCTTCCACCTTATTGTTTCCCGGGCAGTGCAATACCTTAGGCAAGTTTCTTTACTCCACACAGACGCCTCTGTTTACCTAACAGTAAGCAGGAACTCAGTTGTTAGTTGATTGGCGGATTGCTTTTCCGGGGGTAATAATCCCTCAAAAAAAAAAAAAATTTGGTCACTAAATCCAAGACTATTTGTGGGGCACTGATATGCGCAATTGGCTGTTGTGTTTCGCCCACAAATACACAGTCAAGTCACTATATTCAGCAATATTCAGTATATTCTGTGAAGACCCAATGAGGTGCTACACCAAATGCAAGGATTGTTATTATATTATTATTATCAAATCTACATTGGCATTGTCTTTAAGTAAAACAGCAAGTCTAATCCCAGTTTGTTTAATATTCCTACTACTCATGTATCTAATTCCTCTTTAAAAGAACTGACGGATGAACGGACTCTGCTTTGACAACACATCGCAGCAGAGAATTCCACACATAAAAATATGGCAAATATTTTAAGCTGTAATAGAAGCTGACAGTCTGTACACACCCCTGGGCCCCAGGCCTGCCCTATACACATCACTTTAAGCATCAGAAAAGTGTCTCGCTTTACTTTTCCCTCCGGAGCTCAACACAGCTTTAGTAACAAAGCAAACTGCAAGAACACTGTATATGTTGCTTAATAATAATAGTAATGCTTGCATTTGATATAGCGCCTTATCACGTCTTAGAGACGTCTCAAAGCGCTTCACAGAATATACCGTAAAGTGAATTGACTGTATGTTTTCGTGGGAGAAATGCGGAAACCAATTGCTCACAACAGTGTCCCACAAATAGTCATGGATTGAGTGACCAAATCATTATAATTTATTTTTATTATATGAGATTGTGGGACAAAATTTAATGCCGTAAAGCTTTAGACGGAAGGAAGCACAGTCATTGATCTATGAAGTCAGTCACTGTTAGAGCCGTATCTTTAATAAACCCTCGGATAATAAAAAAATGTCATTTTGTTGTTGTTGTTAAACTCTCTGCGTTAACACTTGCAGTTACTGAGCGGAGATAAGATGGGGTTTATTTGGTAAAAAAAGACATTTTTTTAAAAAAAGAAAATTTTTGTGAAGAAGGTAAAATTTGCAACGACACAAGAGCGAGAGGCAGAGAAACCGTCAAAGTTAAAACTCCCGATCGTAATAAATTTGAATTAGGAAGAAAAACTACCCGCACAGCAGCCACACATGCAGACACACGCAGACGTACACTCTCACAGGATAAAAGAGAAGAAAGAAAAATTAAAGAGACAAAAATTGATCAGCGTGGCACCAGAGGGGGTATGAACATGAACGGCAGGAAAGGTGACAACCATTCCTCACGAGCTGAGCCCGAGAGGCTGAACATTGATGGGAGATTTCAGGGCAATTCTCTGTGCTCGCCCTGTGTGAATTCTCAAACAATAGTTTAACAGTTTAATGCTGAGTTTGATTCTATCCGCGTTGCTTCGACTTCCTCCAGCCGGGAAGGCATTGAGTTCACACGGCACATAACCCCGCGTGCTCTGCCCCTCAAGGCAGCCCATTGACTGAAGCAATCCGCTTGTAACTGAGCAAGAATGCTTTGTAACACAGCAGGGAATCCCTCCGACATTCTGACAAATACACCCGGTTAGTACTTAATCAATAGCTGCTCTGATCAGCTAGAGCGCACAGACAATGTAGGGAGAGCTTAGTTCTCTGAACCCCCTCATCACAGGGAGCCACTGAGAGCAAAAGCCCTCTGTAGAGACGAGATGCCTTTAACGCTGATCCCCTCAGCTATGCTGCAGACATCAATATCAAGGAGCTATGATGTGGCTGCCATTGAACTATTTGTAAACTGAAGTGAAGGATTCTACAGGGACAAAGATGCAGCTTGCGATCACTCGCTGGCTAACACCCTCATGAATAAAACACACGAGTCAGTGCCCGGGGTAAGAAATGCCTTTCCTATTGGAGTGGTTACACGCATGGCCGGAAGGTAATATGCTGGTTAAACCGGTGAGCCGAATAGGTAGAGCGTTACCGAACACAGCCTTTAAAATGAAGGCTTATCCCAGAGTCCAGGCATCGGTTGGAAGCTTTCAGCAGCAGGCGAGATGCTCTACGATCTCCTCTCTGTACGGAATGCTACACTCCATACGGGCTGAGCTGAGCTTGGCCTGGGCCCCTGCACCAGTGCCAGGCAAAAGGTGGGACTGAACGGCACAGACCAGAGCTCAACTCGCCATTCCAGGAATACGGTTAAGAGCATCTACCTGCTCACCTTTCCCAGGTGTGTGAGGCAGGCAGTTATCTCAGCACTGCCTGCGCTCTGCAACCTTCTAAGAGCAACTTGCATTGACATCGCGCCCCTCATGCAGTTCAGCACCTCAGAGCGATTACGACACCAAGCTGGGGGATGTGGAGGTGACCGTTGGCATGGACAAAGAGGAAGGTCTGCAGGCGCGACGTGAAGATGGGGAAGGAGGGGATACGGCAGAGGGATTGAGGGAGTGTTCCAGAGTGTCGGGGCGTAGTGGCCGTTAATGTTGGAATGTGTATCTCTCCTTCAAGTCAAACACAAGGAGCCTTAGATACCAAAACACAGCCATACAGTCATAAGTTGGACAAAAACAATGCATCAGCAGCCTCTGACCAACCCCCCCACCCCCACCCCACCCACACTGCACCACCTCAGGCCTCCCCTTCTTTCTCTACACGAACCCTCTCCTGCTGCTGCACTGCAGGACAAACCAATACAAGGAAACAGGATTGTTGTTCTAATGGGGTTTGGTGTCGAGGCAGCACATGGACAGTGAGGCCCAGCTCAGGGCCGGAGTGTAATCCTGGGATGCCACAGTCAGTGCTTTATTATCCAGAGGATCAAAGCCCCAAGCCTGTCTCACATGCTCTTTATCAGCTAATCACCCTATTCATCTCGGAATAATCTGGCTGCTAAATCCTCTCTCTGTCTCCCAGCACAAGGCTATCCCCTTCCTGATGACCATCTGCTGGTGAGGGTCAAGCAAAGAGAAGCCCTCTTGTCCCCAGTGGCTACTCTGGGAACATTGGCCCCAGTCAGCACTGGCGGGAGCTCAAACAACAATATCCAGGTTCAAGTAAGATCAGTGTAACTGCATTAATCTGCGTTGCTACTAGTTTCTACGAGAGCTCTACCACATTGCATCTAACGGCGAATCCTGTGTGCAATGGTGCATGTGGCAGTCCTGGTTTATCTGTTCCACGCCCTGACTCCAGCTATTTCGTCTTTGTACAGTTTTTCTTCAAACGATAAAACGGTGGATGAAGAGAGTACAGAGTGTGATACAAAGGGCCGATAACGAGCTATGTTTGTACAATAACCGCGGCTTAGGGAAACACAAAACGCAAGCTTAATCTTCAATCCGTTCAACAGCTGCCATGTTAAATTGCGAGTCCCTGCAAAATTCCTGGAGCTCCTTAAAATCAACGTGTGAGGTGCCCAGCACTGGAAGAGTTAAACGCTGCGACTTTACAAACTATTATCGCAGCTTCAACGAGGGACAAAAAAAGGCTGGGCTGGTACAAAGTCAATCAATCCCACGCTTAAGATGTTGCTGACAATGAAAGTACAGCAGACATGGAGCAGAGAGAATGGAAGTTACTCGACAGAAAGACTCCCCACGGTCCCTGTTGTAAAGATTATAGAATAACTCCTCAGGGAGGCTTGCAGCAGAGGGTGCACCATTCACAGACAGACTGACCGACCGACAGCAGTACAACAAGCTGCGTGCAATCTCATTAGCTGAGCGGGAGCCAGCCAGCCACTGACACTGGCAGTAACAATGCTAAGCCACGTAGGGGTTTTGTTCTGGTGATTTATTTTTGATCGCGGTCGTCTCCGGCCTGTAACACACTCGCCACACGGGCTCGCGACTCAGATTAAATGGTCTGGGCTGGGCCTCGGGTCTCCCGACGGCTGAGCCAGTTTGGTTAGAGAGTAGCCGAGCTGTAGAGACCATGCAGACCTCGGGGTTCAATCCCCGGTACCTGCTGAGAAAGCATAACTCCTCACACTTGGTATCAGCGTCTCGCCCACAAAATACACAGTCAATTCACTTTACAGTATATGCTGTGAAGGGCTTTGAGACATCACGATAAGGTGCTATATCAAATGCAAGGATTATTATTATTATTGTTATTATTATCATCATGTGAACACACGCTATGCTCTCTCTACATCTCCAATGTGCTTCCTATATAGAGGAGTGTAAAACTGTGTGCGATAAGTACGTAATCCAACTACATCTTGAACTATCAGTAGTAATATTATTAAAGCAATTCCATGTTCAGCAAAAGGACGCACAATTTAAACAGGTCAACACGGTATTGTACAAACTAACAATTCTCTGATAGGTACACAATCAGCACATTCAAAGGGCAACTCTGGGTCCAGACTGAGAGTGGCCTAAGCTCTGGCCTCAGCAGCCAGTGTCATCCCCAGCCCGATGGCAACACCAAGAGGTCTGGATCACACCGCTCTTCAGCGAAACACACAGCGAGGAACCGGAGCAGATCTACACACAACTGAACTCACTGACACAAGGCACTGATGCACTGACACTGCCTGTGATGCTTGTAAATTAAATAAAACATATTGCACTGTCAAAACAACTGCCACCCCAACACAAGCTCTTTCCAAATGCGCCTCATTAATCCATTTCAAGTATCTGCCGAGCGCACCTCCATAGGTTACACACCTGCCGTTTGTTACATCAGTAAAGTCTCATTGAACACCAAGCTCCAAGGTCACAAGGAAGGAAGAAAGGAAGGAAGAAACCCACTGTGGGACACGGGTTTCAGAAAGAAAAATAATTTCTAGTGTAAGAGAACGTAAACGGCGAACAGGTCACACAACCCACAAGTGAGCAGCGACTTTACATCTATTTAACACAACACCTTTTTGTGTAAATGAAAGCACTCAAAGCGCCTTACAAAATAAGAGAACTCACTTCACAGTATATTCCTGTGAAGCGCTTTGAGACGTCTCAAAGACGTGATGAGGCGCTGTATTGAATGCAAGGATTGTTATTATTACTAAGATTGATTAGAAATTATGAATCTTGTTATGGAGCCAAATATAGCTGATCTGCACCAGCGATGTCCCACACAACACGAGGAACGGACAACACGTTAACATTTTGGGGAGCATTTGGCTGCGGACGGAATATCAGCCAGGATAAAATGGAGCAAAACTCCAGGTTTTTTTCAAACATTGGCCTGAGCGAGCGTGTGATCTCTCCGTGTCCACCCAAATCATTTTTTTTCTCAAGGGGCAGATGGGATCGCAATTAAAAAAAATATGAAGGGTGAACGCAGGGTAGCCCAGCATCTTTCTGCGACCAGCTCGTCTGTAACAGTCACTACACAAGCAGAAAGGAGAGTGGGAAGGTTAACTTCAGATGAAGTCTGCTCCCGAACCCATCGGACTAAAGTTCCTCGCAAATGAATGAGTCCAACTTGCCAGCTGACGGGAGCATCCTTATCTGACAGGCGCTCACGTTACACAAACCTCCCCTTTCTCATTGTGTAGCTAACAGCTGTTGACTGCACCAGCTCCCCCCTCCCCTTCCAGCAATCCCTCGACACACAGAGGGAGATAAACCAAGGTTTTGAATCGGGTCAAACGTAAATCGTTGTCTATTCTATTAGTGGCAGCACAAGCTGTGATGTGACACCTCACCACTGGCATTACAGAGACTAGTAAAAGAGGTTATCAACACTGAAAGAGAGACTTTAACAGACTCTTAATTAACATCATTCACCCTTGACAAGTGAGACAGGACTGGCTTCCCACAATAGTTGGAAGTTCCTACATCCCATGCTTCAGATGAGACGTTAAACCTGTCTGTCTGTTCAGGTGGACGTTAAAAAGTCCCGTGGCGCTATAATAATAATAATAATAATCCTTGCATTTGATATAGCGCTTTTCACGTCGGGAGGACGTCCCAAAGCGCTTCACAGAACACACTGTAAAGTGAATTGACTGTATATTTGTGGGCGAACGCGGCAGCCAATTGCGCACAGCAATGTCCCACAAAAAGTCGTAGATTGAAAATGACCAATTTATTATTGTTTTGTTTTTTTGGAGGGATTATTATTAGGCTCTGTGTGGAGTAAGGAAACTTGCCCAAGGTTTCGCCCTCTGCCTGGAATTGAACCCAGGTCTCTCGCTTGCAAAGCGAGTGCTCTAACCACTGAGCAACAGGACTCCACAGCTATGAGAAAGGAAAAGGGAGTTTGTCTCTCCTGGTGTCCTGGCCAATAATCCTCCAAATAAAATCGGTCACTCACTCCATGCTGTCTATCAGATATTGCTGTGGCCAACTGACTGCTGCATTTTGCCCACAAAATATGCAGTCACGGGAGTGGGGTGGGGGAGTGCTTGAGGTGACAGTCAAGCCTGACCTTATCCTGCCATCCCCACACACACAATAATAATCCTTGCATTTGATATAGCGCCTTATCACATCTTTGAGTCTCAAAGCGGCTTCACAGAATATACCGTAAAGTGCAGTGACTATATATTTTGTGGGTGAAACGTACATCTTGAAGCAGGGGATGGGGTTAGAGATTAGAAACAGAGAGCCTCTCTGACTTCTCTCTCCGTAGCCCAGGGACACTTAAGCAAGTTGCAGCGATCGACTAACTCAGCACTGGCTGGGATTCAAACCAGGAACCTTCTGTGTGTCTCAATTTTTGCACTGAGCTGTAGGTTTACCAACTGAGCTCCAGCGGAAGCCAGATCACACATCAGTGGCTTAATATTTGCAGGCGGTTTCAAGGCTCAGGTGCAGTGATACGTACCCAGCTCTCGGGTAGGTTATCTGAACCTCACTGGTGTCTCCTAGTCCTTTCCAAACTTGGGATAATGAGGACAGAAACACTTGAGGGTAAATATAGAGTCAAAGCCACTCCAGAATCTCTTTTTTTTTACACACATATTGAAAAACACAATTAACAGAACACAGCACACAAGGTGAATGAGCTAGTCTCTAGCCTCGAGGAGAATAGCATCTGGAGCATTGGTTCCCTTCTTAATAATAATAATAATCCTTGCATTTGATATAGCGCCTTATCACGTCGTTGAGACGTCTCAAAGCGCTTCACAGCATATACTGTCAAGTGAATCGACTGTGAATTTTGTGGGCGAAACCGGGTTTCCGACTGCAGGTCCCAACTTCTGTGCTGTGGGTTCCTGAGTACATCAATACCGACGATTAGTGAAAATGGTACCTCCTGACCTTGTGTTGCTCCAATCCCCCCCTTCCCCTGGGTGCAGCCGCAGATAGTAAATGAGCATTGAGTAAAATTAACAAGGGCAACACCCTTGTTAATTTTACTACAGGGTGACCAAAAAGTCGTGATACCATTACAATGTCTAATATGTCTTAAGGAAATAATATTTTTGTTCTTGTTTAACATAACATAGGGCAGCTTCACGACTTTTTTGGCACGCTGTATTTCACAGAATCATACACTATTACGGCACAGAAGGAACCCAATCAGCCCTGCTCCCCCGCTCTTTCCCCATTGCCCTACAAATTTTTTTCCTTTTCAAGTACCTATTCAATTCCCTTTTGAAAGTTGTTATTGAATCAATTACTTCAGTCAAACATTTGTGGTCAACATCAATCACCGAGCCAGCTCTCACCGTTCAGGTTTCCTCTTCCGAGGGACTCCCAGCTTTCCCCCCAATCTCTGTGGGGCATCTCTCAGCCCGAAGCTCTTGGCCGCATGTCCCAGGTGAAGGTTCTTCACGTAGAAGATGTGCTTCAGGTCGCTGGGGTAGGTGGCGTAGGCTCGGATGTATGATTGTAGCGCTGGGGAGAGAGTGTAAGATAATGACAGTGAGCGACCACACAACCACAGAATGTTTACAGCACACAAACAGGCCATTCGGCCCATCCAGTCTGTAATGGCGTTCGTCTTCACAAGAACAGCCTAATCTAATTATAAATCATATTGCCCTCTCAACCTTTTCTTCTCCAGCCTCAACATGCCCAGTTTACAATAATAATCCTTGCATTTGATATAGCGCCTTATCACTTCTCCGAGATGTCTCAAAGCGCTTTACAGAATATACTGTAAAGTGAATTGACTGTATATTTCATGGGTGAATCTAATCGCTCCTCATTGTCCAGATCGTCCATCCCCAAAATCATTTTGGTTGCCCTCCGCTGCAATCTCTCAATTGCTGCAATATCCTTTTTATATTGCGGTGACCAGAACCGCACACTGTATTCCAAATGCCGTCGCAACGATGATTTATAGTGTCAGGATTACCCGCCTGCTGCTTGCTCTCTGCACCCTTTAATATCCCTCTTTCTCAAACATTACCCGATTCCTATTAAAACTGATTTTCCGCTTTGTAGGAGGAATTGTAACAACTTGCATTCACATTTCAGTTTTCCCGGAAAATAAGCATCTCAAAGTGCTCTCACGTCTCATCCAAAGGACGGCACCTCTGACAATACAACATTCTCCCAGCACTGCACTGGACTGTCAGGGTAAGCTGTGAATTCGAATTAAATTCGGAAGTACTCATGCATAAAGGGGGAGGAGCAAGCGAGGGGAGGAGGTTCTCCTTCATCATGATCACAAGACAGACAGAATCCACATTGAGAACACAATAAAAACAACAAACACTTGCATTTATACAGTGCCCTTCAAGTGGGGTAGTCTTGGAGCGCTTAAAGATTGATTATCCCGGGCAGGGTGAAACCTTAGGCAAGTTTCTTTACTCCACACGCCTCTGTTTAGCTAGCAGTGAGCAGTAGGAACCCAGTTGTTAGTCGATTGTTGGATTGCTTGCTGAGGGTAACAATCCCTCCAGAAAATAAGAATTTGGTCCCTCAATCCACAAGTGTTTGTGGAACACTGCTGTATGCAATTGGCTGCCGTGTTTTGCCCACGAAATACAGTTGATCCACTTTATCAATATCAAATGCAAAGATTATTATTATTATTATGATTATTAATACCCAGCTTCTTTATCTAACAAATGAGATCTGAGCTTCACCAGCGAGCGACCAGAAGCTGCCTGCACGACACAGGCGAGCAGAGCTGCTCAAGCTCACGCGGGAACCTGTGAAAGTGAGGAGATAATGGAGCTGTTTCACACTGACGTTCTCTGCTCTGAAGGCGGATTTCAACTGAGAAGCTGTTTACACAAAGTTTAAGTGGAATTGAGTAAGCGGCAGACGCCAGAGTTTATGAGCAATAATAAAACGGTCATTTTATGGATTTGCGGCTGACGAGAGCTGGGGAATTTCTCAGAGTTTGGGTTTACTGGGAAAAGTGCGATCATTTGAGCTCAATGCCTTTCAATTAAAGCTGCAATCAATCCTCCTAACGTCAACACTGTCTTCACCTATTTATTGATTGATTGATTGATTGATTGACGCCTGATAATCCCTCAAGAAAAAAGCAATAATAAAACTGATCACTTCAATCCACAACTGTTTATGGGACACTGCTGTGCGCAATTGGCTGTCGTGTTTCACTCATAAATATAGTCATTTCACTTTACAATATATTCTGTGAACTGCTTTGAGACGTCTAGAAGACGTAGTCTAACCAATGAGCTGCAGGACTCCACAAATGCAAGGATTACTATTATTATTATTAATATTCAGCGGCTACATATGGTAACACACACTTGGGAATCAGACATACTTTGACTTCTCAAGCCCACTTGACAAGAGTACTGCGCACCTCCCCTGCACCCACACCCTCCTCTGGGATCCCTCTCAATGTCTCACTCAAGAGCCTATAAGTCGTGTGACATGCAGCAAGCAATGTTGCTGCCGCATTGCATTGACCCAGTGGTTGCATGTGTTGTAAGGCGCTGCAGTGTTGCAGCAGCAGCTGCCCACAGTGATGCAGCGGCCGAGCTGGAAGGGCCACGCCATCGCTGTGCTTTCTGACAGATGTAATTTTTCAAATTGTGCCAAATTAGCCAAAACTACAGAGGAGAGCTGTTCAGCTCTGACCTTTCAATCAATCCAGCTGCCTGTCCTGTCTCAGGAGTGAGCAGTTTGCCTGCTCTTCCTGTCTCTTTGCTTTCCAGCACTCCCTCGTGCTCTGAAGGACATCGTCCAACTGCTGGAAGGAGCAAAGCAACACACGTATAGAATATATACATAATTATATATATAATATGAATAAATAATCAAATACTTTGTGCCGTGCAGTTGGCTGACGAATGTTAAATCAGCCGCATAATAAAGTAGTTATGAAAGACTTAATTATGAGAGACTCAATGCTTTTTTAAGCCAGGCTTTAGCTTCTTAACAGCACACGGCAACATTTTGGTAAGAGATTGAGATGTCCCACAGAACATTTAAGATACGGTGGATTTTAAATGTCACAATAAACGGGGTCAGGAACTAACATATCACGTTAGTGAGGCTACTCGACAATCCGAATTTACACATGTACAAAGCCCTGTACAGATCACTTTCTACATGTGCAGTAAGTTGTCCAATTCCCCATCCCCTTCTCCCCAACCCATTCCCAGCTAAAGGATCCAAACCAACCATCACGTCCTTAAAAAGAGGTCAAAATGTTCCCTGCACCGTCACATGTTGGAAATGGAGGCAACTCATTTGGTTTACCTGCAAATGCAGACGTGCTGGAGTTTTACCTAATGTACCTAGGGCTGAATAGTGTCCAAACTTACCAATGGTTTTGGTAACATCAATAAAGAGACTCTCCACCCTAATCAGCAAATGAGGATTAAATTAAAGATCATTACCACCACCAACAACAAAAAGGACGTAGACTTGTACAGAGGCTTGTTGGGATGTGAGATGTCTTTCTGTACTACCAATGGGTATTGAATCATAGGAAAAGAAATATTTAAAAGGATAAATATTTGAGGGAATATAATGTTCAAAGGGCAGGGAAATGGCACGAGTAGATAGTTGAGTGACGGAGCTTGCACCAACACATACACAATGAGCCAAATGGCCTTCTCCTGCACGATAAACTATATGCCCAATATTTAGTTCATATTAATATCTAATGATTAGGATTAAAAAAATAAGTGAATCAAAGCCTACACTTTTCTAGTATCTGATAAGATAGGCAGTAGAAAACAGGAACAGAAGAATGATTATACAACCACGGTCAATGTCACAAATATTATTAAAACCATAATTAATGCTAAACTCTCTCACACCGTCAAGTGAATTCTTCGCCAGATCGATATCTATTCCCCTCTTGAATTTGCTGACACAATCTCCCCCACCCCACCCACCCCCCCCCCCCGGGCAGTCAGTCAATGTCACACATTCAGTGTTTGCTAGGCTTGCACGAGTCTATGAGGTTGCACTGTACAGTCTCAAGCTGTGCAGAATGTGGGCTGAATGCAGTTCCCATTATCACTTCACAAGTTTCCCATATTAGAATAACATGGAGAGCAAAGTCTTTAAAGATATTTGATACTGTTTATAATAAATTGCAAAATACGGTAGTTTCACCCCTTGATGTTGACGGACCTATATTGGGACTCGCTTTTAAAAAAAGTCCTAATTCACTGTGGACAAACGACCAAGGGTTAAAGGTAGAGAATGAAGTCACTAACCTGTCTTGGCTTGCAGAAGGGTCTCTTTGGTTGAATGCACGTAGTTTTCATATTGAGTCTGCAAAGCTGTTGCTTGCTCTCTTGCTGCCTGAGAGGCAGGGAGCTGGGACTGTAAGGAAAAGGAAAACCGGGTTAACGCTTCCAAGTTCATTCTGACAAAGAAAATCTGTACGGCCAGCCACGTTAAGGCACCAGTGAGAACGGTTCCTAATGTCGGCCATTGGAATCTAGACCAAAGCAGGAAGCCCACAATGTTGCTCACCTAGTGTTTGGTCGATTCCCCAGCAATTTAAAAATCACATCAGCACTGGATCTTTATTCTCATTTACAAATCACACCACAGGCCGCAAATGGTTAAGGACAGGTGTTGAGACAGAAATAATAGAGCGGTTTACAAGAGATTTAATAACAGCAAAATTACTGAATAATCACAGAGGGGCAGAGGAGGTTAATCCCTTCAATATTACTGAAAATAAACACAAGAATGTAGCTAAAGATCAGCCCGTATCAGGCAGCTCTCTGTTATTTGTGGGCTGCATCAACCACTACCTTTCCTGTCGCCCGCCTCTCACAATCTCTCCGGTATTAATATGAATGCCAAATTACTTTATAAAATGATTGACCTTTCCCTGAGGACCTGGCGTTGTGTTATTAAAGAAATAAAGTTTTTTTTAATAATGGAAGTGTGTTTTTCTTCCCTTTTACTGTTTAAAATTAATGAGAAACTATCACAGTTGCTGGGGCGAGATTGAACTGTGCAGTCGGCTCCATATAAGAGTGGAAATCCTTCTGAGATCTGAGTAAACATGGACTCAGCCGCTGATCCCCTGGCTGGATATTGTATACGGTGAGTAACACTTCTTCCAATAGATGGGGGGGGGGGGGCAGGAGGGAGTGGGAGGGGGATGAGGGAAAGGTTGGGAGAGGAAACTGAATCGTGCAAAGGTTTAGAATTGTAATAACCACTTTTATATTGAAAAACACCTTCAGTGAGAGCAAAGAGCTTGCTGCAGATTCCACAAAATTGGGTCTAATCAGAGACTTTCAAATGGCATTTGTTTGGGGTAACGTGCCAGGATTTTCCTAACCTTTTACGCTGAACCCAAACATTGAGCGACTGCAATATTGCTTTATTGCATGCGAGCATAATGATTGACGATGGAATAAATGCTACACAATCCTTCTATCAAACATACTCATCACAAGCTACAAACGTTGCCAGCTGTTCCGTTCTAACCATTAGTGAAGGGACACTAATGGTCAGAACGGTGGCACGCTCTCCTGAGCCAGCCAAAGTTGCACGTGTCCCGTCTGATTTTAAATTCTTTATTTCAAATTCTGTGTAGCAGAACCTCGCTATCAAAAACAGTCGATAAACTATTTAGTCTCTTGGTAAATGTGGGATTTGGGTTACCAAATCAAGGGTGACAAAATTATAAAAGTCTGTAGCAGTTAAGTCTTATATTTTCTGAGCACTCTGTTCCACCCACATCAGCAACCGTTGGGTCTAGTTTGGACTATCAGTGTTGTTGCTCCACATTCATTGCAAAGAGGGTCATGTCATCTTATAGACTGAGGGTGGAGAGATCCATCCCCTTAATGAATGAGTTCTCTGACGGTTTAAGAGTTAAGTGCGTCGGGCCTTCACGGTAAACAGTGACTTTTCCGCATTTGATGCGACATTAGGTGATGTTTAAACAAGATTTCTGTACCCGGCAACCGATCTGGGTACGGTCACTCTGTTCAGTGTTCACGCCTGGCAGTTCGAGAGGCCGCTTTCTGCGCCGTGCAGTTTTGCTTCCCTTCAGGAGCAGTGTGACGCATGTGAGCAGAAGTGGTTTCCGTTCAGCGCCACGTCACCTCAGGACTGTGCACAGTGCCGAATGCACGCTGGCTCAGGAAGCGGCACCATCTTACACCTTCGTGTTTCCAAATACTCCATTCATCATTCTATTAATCAATAGAACATTCAATTACAGGGGGGATCAGTGGCTGCATGCTTAATGTAGCAGCTCCAACGCAGCTGCTCTCGATGCTGAACTCCTGCAGTGCATATTACAAGCCAGGGAGACTCGAGGTGGCAGTGCGCACTGGAGCCTAATTTCTCAGTAAAGCTCAACTCGTCACAAAGTTGTATTGTATCAGTCCTCAGACTCCCAAGAACTGGTTCAGTGGCACGGAATTAGGAACAGCCTGCAAACGTTTTGAGATTTTGAAGTAAAGTTCAAGTGTTGGCATTTTATTGCCGCCTGAACCCAAGAAAACAATCACAAATCGTGAAATGATGAGAAGCTGCAGGTAACAGTGCAGCAAATAGAACAAGAGAAAGAACTTGTGTGGTGATTTGCCTGCAAGGAACATAGGAACAGGAGTTGGACATTCAGCCCCATGAGCCTGTTCCGCCATTCTATTAGATTATGGCTGATCTGTACCACAACTCCAATTACCCGCCTTAAAGGTAATAAAAACTGCCATGGGGAAAATGAGCAATCAATCTGCAAGATTGTTAACCAGCACATCAGGAGAAATGCCTTTCTTTTCCTGTATTGTCAGGGCCTTTCATGTTCACAGGCAGATGGACGCTTGGAGTGACATCTCATCTGAAGGATATCACCTCCGACCTTTCAGCACTCCCCCGGGGAATGTTAGCGGAGTGTCGGCCTAGGTGGGAGCTGAAGGCCAAAGATTTTGAAGATGGCCATTTTCCTTTGTGCTCCCACAGCAGTGCCTGTCGGACTGCAAGTGATATGCTCAACTTAACGCTTGTTAAATGAAGCTCTCGCCAAACTCCATAAATGGAGCCAGAATGGTTTTGAGAAGATAGCATGGATTGAGGGTAGACAATTGGCTCATTTATCCTACATCTACCTGCCTTCCATCTGCCTGCCACAGACTGCTTCACTGAAATTTTTCACCGCTTCCACCAGACTCCAACTGAGTGAAACACCAGCACCTGATTTTACTAACTCCTCTGGTCAGCACTTCTACACAGGTGACCCTTTCCTAGGACCCTAGAAAAGCATGGGGACCACCCTGCTTTACACGGAGTTTGATCGTGGCCAGGAATTTTCATTCCATCCCTGACAAGGCACTTAACTTAACCAATATTTTGGACTCAAAGAGTCAATCTTCCGTGTGCTCCACTGTGTAACCTTGCTTAAGGCCGAATCATTTCCTCTTGTACTGAATTCACAGGCTGTTGTTCTTGTTTGTACGCAGCTCATTTGCTGAGTGATCCATTATCAATGCCTCATCGATGCCTCACGGTGACCCTATTGTGGATCAATTTGTTGTTGTTGTTATCCTCCCTAAATCTTCTGCTATTCAATTCTGGGAGTTTCAGTAACATACCACCCTTACATTCCCAAACTACTCTAGTTCCCACTCTGCAAAAACAATTCTTTTTTCAAGACAAGGTGTCCAAAACTGCTTATAGTATTGGAACACATCAGGAATTCAGTGCCAAAGAGATAAATGATGCGAAAAATAATCCACTCGCTGAGCCAACGTCCCAGGATTGTTCCCAGTGGAGCAGTCTGAGGCACCATAGCTCTGTGTATACAGTGGAACTTTAACCTGGGATTGCTACTCAGCGGCGATAATTTGATTTCATTAAAGTGCCGAACACCAAACGACTGCAGCAGATAGATAGCAAGTCTCTCTGTAGCTTTTACAAACGCAGGGAAGAAAACAAATAAAAGCTTCTTCTAGGTAGCTCGTGGCACCAGCCTGCTTTCACATGCAGGATATTGCGAGTCTCAAAATGGAAATAAGAGATCTTAAAACACCCGGAGCTGGGGAAGGAGAAATGATCAATTAAGACAACGGATGAAGCGGCCCTTGAGTTGCAGCTACTTTTAAAGTGGGAACTATGTGGTTGTTTACATCATTAGCACTGTCTGCACACGGAGCAGGTCCCTGCTGACAAGGAAAGCAGCACGCGGTATTCTCTCTGGTAGGGAATCCGCACAGAGCAGGTAACTAACTGCAGGGGGAAGTACTTTGAATGTGAAGTGTTTACCTCTAGATGTGCTCCCGGTATCGCAATCACATTCCGACAAATCGCTTTCGAAAGTAATGGCCTTTTAATTGCTGTCTGAAGGTGTGAAACAATGAGGCGGATGTAATCTTGCGATGGCAGTGAGCACAGGCCCGCAGAGTGGCTGTGCACTGGTGTGCGCTGTCCTGGTAGCAAAGTTATTCTTTCTTTTTTTAATATAACAATAATAATCCTTGCATTTGATACAGTGCCTTATCACGTCTTCCGAGACGTCTCAAAGAGCTTCACGGAATATACTGTAAAGTGAAAATTGACTGTGTATTTTATGGGCTATAATATCCTGACATCCCACGAGTGGAGAGAACATGGTCTAAGCTCATAGCTCCTGTGTGCTCACTGTCCCATTGCAGCCCAGTCAGATAGTACACACACGAGTCACACAGCTTTTACACACACCCAGGAAGGCAGTCAGCCTGACCACGGGACGGAGGGGAGTTGTGGCACCATGAGGAGCAAATAAGAGAGGAAAAAATACAAACTAAAAGGATCACATCATCGGGGGGGCGGGGAAACAGGGTGGAAGGGGATGGGGGGAAAGACTCACCCATTCAAAATAAAATAAAATAAAAAAACGCTTAACCTCCATCCTGCTCTACACCAGCTTTAACCTCACGGCTATACTCTCCTTTAAACCTGTAGCAGGTTGGCTACAAAATAGTGATGATTATTAAACACCAACATCTGTCAAATGTGCAGATGTGGCACAACGCCATATGGAGTGTAACCTCCAGGCTTAGACCTGTGACTAAAGTGAGGACTAAAGGAAGGTTCGGCTGGTGTTCCCTGAACATACCGTGGTTATCGCTCCCAGAGATGCCTCGCGCACAGATGGGAAGCCTGGTGGGCCTGGGACCCGAGGCAGGAACTGAGCACGGCTCTAGTGACCTGTATGTCTTGCTTTAGCAGCGATGTTAGGCAGTGCAGCTTGGTGAAGATTTGCAGATAAAGTAGTTCTCTTTGCTGAGTGCCATCTGTCTAGAGCTGTGTAACCACTGCACACACGGCCCCCAGTCTCGTCAGGGAGGATGTCCTTATCCATGTCCCAATGAGCCGGCCTTTGATGCTGTTATTTGGGTGGCAGCGGTCACAATCCCATTAGAAATACCCCATGGCGGGGTGAAGGCTTCAGGTGGTGCCAGTGAGAGCAGAACCAAGTCTCCTTCTGTCTCAATGATAGATCTTCTGCAACTTGAGTGAATGAATAATAAACAGCTCAGCAACAACTGCCGCTCAGACTGGGAGTCCACAATCGGCATTGAAACCTAGATTCCTTTTCACACCTGAAGCAACAAAGGTGTCTCACCAAGGGCATCCCTCAATCAGAATCAGTTGTCCCACCAGGGCCGCCTTCACTATCTATTAGAACCAGTAATTCCTGTGAAAGGTTACATAGGCAATACCAACCTTTCACACAAACGCTAGCGGAAATCTGGAATTCTCTCCCTCCCCCAAAAGGCTGTTGGATGTTGGATCCATTCAAATTTTCAAGATTGACGTGGATAGATTTTTGTTAGGTCAGGATATCAAGGGATATGGTGCAAAGGCGGATATTTGGACTTGAGGTAAAGATCTACCATCATCTAATAGATTGATGGAGGCTTGAGGGACTGAATGCCCTACTCCTGTTCCTATGTTCCTATGACAGGGGAGAACTCCACGGGTATTTAGACGGACTCTCTTGTGTGAAACATGAACATCTTCAAAAACGCTAAGCGACAAATCGGGTTATCACACACCTTGTGTCCAGGTGCCTTTCCTTTTCGTTGTTCCACTGTCAGAGCAGACATGATGCTTTCCAGCTTGATCTCAGAGACCCTGAAGAAACAGAGAGAACAAAGAAAAGCTGACTGACTGGTGCTGCAGCCAGTGGCAGGGCATCTGACCAAGAGCTTTTGGCTTTTGGTAATAAAGCTGTGAGACCCCCCATGTGGGGGCTCCTGGTCTCTGACCCACCTTTGCTCTGCTCTGAATTGCCAGGAACTCAAAATTGAGAGAGTTAATATCAGGGGATTTGGCACTAGCTGATGCTGACAGGGACGCTGCTCAAAGCCTCTATGTAATGGCAACGCGGGAAAGTAAAGAACGCTGGCACGATAATCTGAGCGGCAACACTCTTTTACCAAAGGCAGATTCCATCAACATAGCCTTTCAATCAAGAGTAATACTCTGGGAAATCCCAGGGTGTGACGCGTATCCTTAAGAAATTTTACGTTAAACCCATTCGCATGGTCTTCAGCCGTGTCAAATTTAGTGCGTGGAAGCCACAAACCGCAACGCAGGAAATTAATGCATTTCCCGCAAAGAAGCCATTTTGCCACCTGTACTAGTCAACAAACCTCGTACCTCAAGACATAATGCAGCTCAATGCCAAACCCACTGCTCCACAAGAACAGCTCTTCCCCTGAAAAATATCCTGAGAATCCATCAGAGGTTACCTTCCAGCCAAAATGTTATCCCATAAACTTGGGACTGGTAACAGAGCTTTGAGTTAGTTGACAGAGCTCATTATATACTTCACTGTGAGCCTCTGCTGTCAGCCTATGTTCGATGTCGTTCTTTATGTTTTTTTTCTTGATTTTCTTTATATTTTTTCTCTTTCAATATTTTTTCTTTGACATTTTCCCTTTTCATTTGGCTACATTTTTTATTTCCTTCCAGCACGCCCCATTCTTCTTTCTCTTCCAAACTTTTATTTACACACTCACTCCTTCTCTCTCTCTCTCTGTGTCTTTCTCTACCTCTTCTTCCTTTAAGACACATTAGAAACGTTATTCAGAAAGAGCTGCTTTAGATTGTGCCGAAACGCCGATTTCCTGCGTAACTGATTAATGTGTGTCAGGAGAACATGTGCAAGCTGAAGGGAAATGTACTGTACGACAATTATTGTGAAAAGGTTAATGAAAACATCATGGATTAAAATGGTGGGGGGAGGAGGGAGTAATCATGATAGCTCTGATGTTTCCATGCCATTCTCTACTGGCAAGCTGCCAGGCACCAATCTCCGAGATCTCTGAACTGAATCACAGTGGGAGGCCATCACCCAAGCGTCTGTGCCAGGCTGAAGCCGCACTTGTCTTAATGAATCAGTGAATGAGCAATCATAGGACCGAGAAATTGCGAAGCTGGCTGTGGAGCTTCTGTGAGCGCTACACAAACCGAGCATGATCTATGTGATACAATAAAGGGAACGAAGGAGAAACTGTATGACACAAGACACTACAATACTCTTCAAATATTCATCAATGCACATTCATCTCTCTGTTTACAATCTGCTGCCCGACACCCGGGTATGGGTTCAGGAAATAAATATGGAATGATGCCTACATTGTAAGAAAGGTTTGATATGCAATCGTAAATTGGTCGCGGGTCAACTTGACCTGAGAAAGGGAAAAGGCCACTGGCATGAGCCCACTTAACATAAGGCTCTGCTACAAACTGACTCATAACCGACTGCCATACTCATCTCACACCAAGTCTCAAGTGGGACAGGAGATTAAAAGCTTCGCCCCCCCCCCCCCTCTCCCCCAGAGTAACGGATCTGTGGAACAGACTCCCGACAAAAGCAGCTGATGTTTTGTTGAACGACTCCTTTAAGCAGGAACCAGATAGCGTGTCTATTGTACGTGTAAGAACCGGGGAGGTGGTGATGAGTATTGAAGACGTGGAAAGAATAAAAGTTTTTTTTAATATGAAAAAAATCTGGTTGTTTCGCCCACAAAATATAGTCAATTCACTTGACGGTATATCATGTGAAGCGCTTTGAGACGTCTCGAAGACGTGTTAAGACGCTACATCAAATGCAAGGATTATTATTGTATATATTTCACCTTCAGAATCCTATCCTGTTTACTCCTGCAATCCGAAGGATTATTAAGTATTATTAAGGATTCTTATTATCTGCAATCCCTCCTTCGTGTTTTGGATTGAAATTTTAAAATACACACACACATAACACAGTATATGTACACCAGGCAGCAAGCCCATGACAGCTGAGTGTGCTCTGAGTGCTGGGAAGCACACACGGACTCAGTGAATGAATGAGCGGACAGTGGGGGCTGATGAATTGCACCGATGATCCATAAAGGCAGCTTGCAGCATGGTGCGACTCATGCCGTCACAATAAATTGCTGTCCGGTGTTATAGACCGAGCATTACCAAGACAGCTCTGACAATTTAATTTAAGCTTCGAGCCAAACCCAGTGTGTCCTTTTTTGTTTCTGTGCAGAGGACACACCAATGCAATGTCTTTATGGGCCGTGTGACTTGCACAATCTTTGTAGCAGAAGTGAATGGCTGGCTACCCTCAAAGTCTGTAGTTCCTTCGAGTTCCTTCGAGTTGCTGGACAGGGAAGGAATGAGGAAAGCCACTTGTGATGGAAGTTGTACCTTTCTATCCAGCGACCTGTCCTCGGTTACCACCAATTACATGGCCTTTGCTGTATGTTTCGGTGGACTTTAAAGATACTCCGCGACATTGAAAAAGAGAAGGGAGTTTCTCCCATTGTCCTAATAATAATAATTGTTGCATTTGATATAGCGCCTTATCAAGTCTTCAAGACATCTCAAAATGCTTCACAGAATATACTGTAACGTGAATTGACTGTATATTTTGTGGGCAAAACGTGCTGTCTAACAATCCCCTAGATAAATAGATTGTTCGCATCATTGCAGTTTGTGGGACTTTGATGTGCGCTGTTTTGTAGCAAATGGCTGTTGCATTTGCTACAAATACAGCTTCTTTCAGATTTTATCTCAGCTTCCATTGCCACCTGTGGTACCAAGTTCCATAGGAACAAGAGGAGGCCATTCAACCCACTGAGCCTGTTTCACCACTCTTATCAGATCATGGCTGATCTGTACCTCAACTCCATGTATTCCACACGTTAATACCCTAATTGATCCCCATCACCTTGAAGGTTCTCACTGCTCGATTCTCAGGGGCGTGAGGGAGAGCTGACCTTTGTGGACAGATATATGGAAAGTGTGGAAAATGTGAATCATTTAGCGTGTTATGCTAACCATGGTAAATGCGTGCACAGAGAGAATTAATATGCAAAGTATGACAGGAGATTCTAGAATCGTTTCATCGGTGCTTTACAACATAATTACAGCACCTGTAACTTCTTCCGCACTGGCGTGTTTGCCCACAGCTGGCACAACTCACACATTAGGCTCCGCCCGATGTGTCCTCAGATAATTAATTGAAAGTGGATGACTAGACGCAAATCACCTGGTAACCTGGTTAAAGGACCCGGGTTGGAAGCACTGACCTGATCTGCCGAGAGGCCAGGAGCTCCGCATACTCCACTTCGGATGGAGTGAGGAAGAGCAGGGCATTCCCACAAGAGCCGATCCGTGCGGTCCGGCCCACCCTGTGAACGTACTCGGCGGGCGAGGGTGGCGCGCTGTACTGGAGAAAGCAGAGAGGAAAAGAGAGTGAGCTCTCCGCTCTCATCCTCTGTCTCCCTTCCCGCACTACTGTCATCGGCAGTGATAGTACGACTGATCATAGCAGTGATAGCACAACTGCTACCCAGCCCGCAGGAGAACAGTGTGATACAGCACAACAGTCCTTACTGCCTGAGAAAAAGGAAACTTCACATCCCACTGGTCTTCCATTGTAGACTGACTACACTCATTTCCATTCCTGTATACTCAACCGCTATAATGTTCATCTCCCTTCACAGTTACTTAACTCCACCTAACTTGGGTCTGAGGTGAGTGACGGTTCTAGTTCACGTTTGGCTGTTAAGTCACACTGAGAGCTTCCCCTCATGTGGGAGTTGAGGCTTCAGCTCATCATTTCTACACCCACAGGTTTCAACTATGAGCCAGACAGGCTGGTCACCCATCAACAGTGCCTTGGATTACTGCGGAGCTGTAGTTAAACCCGGGGGGATGGGGGACGGGTCGCTTATCTCCAAACCAGTGCGCTCACTTTATTGAAGTGGAAAAGATGAGGCACTAGGATTCAAAATCACATCCTCCTAACTCTGCTCCCCAGTCTGCTCTCTGCGCAGCAGGATGCTACACATTTAGCATTTACACATTTAGCTTTGGTATTTATAAGATCGCACATGAACCGTACCTCACTGCCTGGATTCAGAGAAACAAAAGGAGTTCAGCAGAGCTAACTAATAATGTGCCTTTCGCAAGGTTTTTGAGTTTGAACGGTTGAGTACAACCATTTGAAAAAGAATAAAACCCCACATTCCTGTTTGGGAAAGGAATCTACAGGGCAGAAGCCAAATTTGCAGGATGCCACATATCTCCATGGCAGCAATGTCACAGTTAACCTGTGGCTGGAGCCAGTGATACAGACCGAAAATAGCCTGTGCATATTACACCTCAGACAGGTTCCGGTACGCTGGCCAACTCCACAAGCTGTTGCAGGTGGAGGTGCTTATCCTGAAGGCAAGTAATTGCTCCCTAAAGGTCACCTTCAGTGGACAGCGCTTCCAGGACCTGTGTACAGTATAGGCTTCTCCACCTAGTCACAGGTAACCCCACGAGCAGCACCTCCGGCAATTAGGCCAGGTCTAGCTCAGCTCAGTGACTGCACCAGGCAGAGAGAAAGAGAGAGAGAGAGTTTTATATCAAAAATGAATACCAGCCCCCAGAGAGCAGTGACTTGCATCATCCTTTCACTGAGACTGATTTACTTACAACTCTAACTGGCAGGGAAAACACAAACTATATTATTATAATTATTATTATAACTAACACTGGAAGTGGGTTTAGAGTCGAGCCTTGGTTCTCAGTCACATCTTCTCGAAAGCACAGTATCTGGGGGTGGTGGGAAGGCCACTCCCCCAAGTTACGGGAGTTAACTTGTCCCATGGGTATCTAATAAATTTGGGGGGGTCTTTCCCCCTCCCCCAACGTATGCGTGTGTGTGTGCATGTGGGTGTGTGTGTGGGGTGGGGGAAGATACCTATGGGATACGTTAACTCACGCAACTTGGGGGAGGGGGCTTTTCACCACCTTCACTTGTCCTCTGAAGAAACCGGGGCGCATTTCCCAAACTAGCATCAGCACGCTTATCGTTTGTGCACAACCAAGATAAAATGTGGAAAGCCCCCGACAGACGGAGCGGGACAGGCAAGAGGAGACAGTACAGTCACAGCACTGACCGTCAGCAACCCCCCCGGCGGCCGCAGGGCTGACACGTACCTGGACAATCCACGTGACTTGGGGCAGGTCCAGGCCGCGGGCCGCGACATCCTATCAGAGAAAGAGACAGAGAGAGCAGATTAGGCGGTGCTGAGACAGGACCCCAGCAAGCCACTTGGTGGGCTACGTGATGCCTGAAAGTACAGATGGGCCGTGGGGCGAATAGTGCCAGCTTGTCAGTTGGATTCAAATGACTCATTTATTTGGTGCAGGAGGCGAGTGAGCTAATGGAGAGAGCGAACCGCACGATTCACTGGGAGAGGCCACCATTTTGCTACTGTCATCTCCCCCCGTCCTGCCAAAAGTCATTACTGCTTTCTGCAGAAAGCCAGCAGCAGGGTAGTAACCCTGTTGTCTCGGCGACAGCTTGCACCGTGCTATCAGCGAGCGAGGACGAGGGAGCTAAAGCTGTCAGAGATGCCTGGGCAACCGAGGAAGCTGGCATTTGCAGGTTAGTGCTTCTGACCAAGCTGCACAGCTCAACCAATGATCCTGATTCACCAGAATAGCAAAAACTAACAGTCACACTCAAAACACACAACGTCCATTTTCCCCAACACTCAAAGCGATTCTGTGTTCAATTGAGACGGGATAAAATGGGTCCACAATTAAACCCAGAGTGAACGGCTTGGCTGCCTTAAGCAGGGAAACGTTGCATCGTAAAATTTGCACAAGTCGGGAAATTGCAGTGAGATTAATAAACCATTAATCATCATGAAAAGTTATTCGTAAATGATACATACATACACACACACATACAACAAATGAAGTTCACTTGAGAGCACACTACACTGTCTGTCTTTCACTAAATCTGGATCACACGGGCCACACACAATGCCGAGTGCCCCACACATGAAATTCTGAACAGTTGTTCAAACGCTGCCTCTCACTTATGGGAGCAGGATTTGAACGCAGCCCAGAGTGAGATTTTGTCTCTGTCCTCTCATGGTGGCAGTGAAAGGCAACATGTCAATACACTTATAGCCAATTGCAATCCTGCCCAGCAGTGATTCGATTTCACAAACTACCTCACATTCACCAAGCTGCCCACGACACATTTCAGAAGCTTGTGTTTCCAACGATGGGTCAGAGAATGAATCCTCTGCTCTACTGCATCAGAGAGCTGGTGTTCAAGCTCCATGTCCTTTGGCACCCTATCTCTACAATCTCCTGCACTCTTCTATTCCCTCCTTTGGCCTCCTCTCTGTCCCATCACCAAGTTTCCAACCACTATACCCTGTTCCCTCGATCTCCCTTCCAAGCTCCCTCCACCTTGCACCTTCGCTCCCCATTAAAAATCTTCCTAAAAACCCATGTCTTCCTTTGGTCATCTTCACATGTTTCTTGGTAACCCACCCCTGGAAAGCACTTTGAGACCTTAACATACATGAAAAGCACGATGTAAATGCCACTTATTGTAAGTGGTCACTGTGGATCAGACCCTAAATTTGATCGCCAATCAGCAGTGGGGCAGTGCTTTGGGCTTGGAACTGTGGAGAGGCCAACCCAGGTGTCCGGCTGTCACATTGTTATCTGGAGGAATCCTCAGTATTTGAAGTTTGTCTTTGTTATTTACTGTCCGTGATGTGGTCTGGAGAGGGACAGTCTGGCAAGAGGCAGCATGGCGTGCTGTCAGGGGCTAATGGAGGTGACAGGCAACAGCCAGATTAAGCTCATGCTGAAATGTTACTTATTGGGTCAACTGCTCTGGTCACAACATTAAGAGTATTAAATGGTTGTAATTTAATGGTCCTTGCCTGTCCCGAGCTCCAAACTCACCACCTGGGAACTGCGGGCAGTCACTCGCATCCGAGCACTCTACAGCACACGTCACACCGAATGGTTGCACACTCCTGCTATGTGTACATTACAAAGGCCGATGATGGCCATAGTCACAACTGCAGGTTACGATCTGGCGCAAGCTTGAAAGTCTTCGAACTCAGTCATCTACGTAACTCTCTGGTCAATGAGTTTACAGCACAGGTACTTGTGATTAGTTGCATATATATATATATATATAATATACATATATAAATAATATACACACATTGATATGAAGATCTCAGAACCTTTGAAACATCCTACCTTTAAGTGTAAATGGATAATTGGCATTGGGAACGGTCAACAATGCAGAGAGTAGCACAGGCTGCTTGCCCCGTGTACCGTTCCTTTCACTCATGCACATATATTATTTGCGTGTTCACAAATTGACAAGAGATTTGGATTCTGTCTCAGAGACTGAACAAGGCAGCTCACTCGGCAGCTGAAAAGTGACAGTCACTCTGTCACTGAGTGAGTTTGGTCACTCAATCCACCACGACTGTTTGTGGGACACTGCTGTGCGCAATTGGCTGCCGCGTTTCGCCCACAAAATACACAGTCCATCCACTTTACAGTATATTCTCTGAAGTGTTTTGAGCAGTCTTAAAGACTTGATAAGGCGCTGTATCAAATGCAAAAATTATTATTATCATAAAAATCTAAAATCTTGTGGTAAATCTTTGCGATGATGCACATACGTAAACACATTTCCCTACAATGGGGCTGGTAAGAAAAGGCTATAGGGGCTCTGCTCGCTGCTCTGTCCTCGATCGCTGGCTGGCGACAGCTTGTCTTGAAGGAACAGTTTGTGAAGCATCATCACAAGCAGGAGGAGCTCAGAGGGGTTATCAGCACTAATTACTCCCGATAGCTGTAATTTACACTTATGCGGTGGGTGGAAATAGTCAAGATTCACACGTTTAGAGTTCGGCATCTGCCACCTTTACTGCTCAGAATGCCATCTCCTGCAGCTCAGAGCAATAGCAAGGAGAGCCAACTCTCTCTTCAGCACTGGGCCCACATTAATACCGCTCAGCAGCAGCCTCCGGTCACTTCCAGCTCAACTACAACAGGACAATCCCATCTCTTACTCACAGCAGCTCAACCAGCACAAAATGAGAATAAAGTCATTAAAAGTGCTGCACTGACAGTTGTGAGCAGGTGTAGGGGTGCAGAGTGAGGAGAAACGGGGGTCAACCGTAATGAGTTTACTATCTCAGCTCTGGCGCTGTGGAAAATGTACTCAGCCTGTGCAGGCCATTCGCCAGGGAGAGACTGGAAGGAATGGCATCACTGTGACGTGCCTTCCAGCAGGGAAGTGGGTCAGCTACACTGGGAGCCATCTCCAGCTCCGGCAGCACGTGCTGGCTTCACTTGTGAGGCAAGTGCTCTAACCAATATGTTACGGCACTCTCTTAAATGGGGAAGTGGGACTACATGAGCAGCTCTTAATAATAATAATAATCCTTGCATTTGATATAGCGCTTTTCACGTCGGGAGGACATCCCAAAGCGCTTCACAGAACACACTGTAAAGTGAATTGACTGTATATTTGTGGGCGAACGCGGCAGCCAATTGCGCACAGCAATGTCCCACAAACAGTCGTAGATTGAAAATGACCAATTTATTATTGTTTTGGGTTTTTGGAGGGATTATTATTAGGCTCCATGTTATATCCATTGGCAAAGTTTTCTACGCTTATGATCTATCTGATAGATATATGTGACCCACATTGGGGAGAGGAAGCCTTTAGATTGTAATACTGATTGGTAGTAAAGTGCAGTTATTCGCCAAGGCAAATGTAATGAACTTCTGTATTACTATCTATAGGTCTGCTATTGCTGCCTCTCAAGTCAATCCGTGGGTTCGTTCGAGAATATCGCTTGTTACTAGCAATGTGCAAGATTATGGCAAGTGCTGTTCATTGCACAGGTTGAAGTAACTTTTTCTGAAGGAGTGTTTTATATAGGACATTACAGCTAATACATTCTATGCTTAAAAATTAAACCACATGCTATTTTTTCAGGATTGTGACAACATAAAATTAACAGTATAAAAACGATGAGGATTTATTACTAGATGTATCAATTGATTGAAAGTATGTGCAGTTCAGCTCTACAGAACTAGCAAAGTAGGTTTTTCTATAGCATTTATAGTACCCATTGGTTCTTTTACTTGTAATTCAGTAACGTGCTCAAGAGCTCAGGTAATAATCCTTGCATTTCATATAGCGCTTTTCATGTCGGGAGGACGTCCCAAAGCGCTTCACAGAACACACTGTAAAGTGAATTGACTGTATATTTGTGGGCGAACGCGGCAGCCAATTGCGCACAGCAATGTCCCACACAATGTCCCACAAACAGTCTTAGATTGAATATGACCAATTTATTATTGTTTTTGGTTTTGGAGGAATTATTATTAGGCTCTGTGTGGAGTAAGGAAACTTGCCCAAGGTTTCGCCCTGTGCCTGGAACTGAACTCAGGTCTCTCGCTTGCAAAGCGAGTGCTCTAACCACTGAGCTACAGGACTTAGAAAGCCAGCACCAGCATTGTGGGTCAAAAGGCCTCTTTCTGTGCTGTAAAGATCTATGGTTTCATGCCTTAATTTGACAAAAGTTGGTTATTACCTCTAGAAACTTTTTTATGATAACTAAGAGCAGAGCAGCTGGTGGGACCTCACTTCAAGATTTGATGGTGAGTGGATCAAATGCCAGGAGGATGTGGAGATGGAGCAGACAGCTTGAAAAGGAGAGTGAGAGCGAGTGAGAGAGAAATAGAGACCGAGTCCCAGGTCAGTGCAGTGCAATCAGTGCCCAAACCCCCAAACTTCACCAGAGCGCCCCCTACTGTACCAGTGTGAAGTTATTACTTCCCTCACCTCACGGAGCAGAGATATCATCATTGGGTGACAAATTGCGTGGCTGTTGGTTGGAGAGTATGCAAGTACAGGCGGAAACTGAATTCAGAACAAACTTATTGAGCTGTCGGACGGACTGGTGCCTTATTTTGCCCAGAAAATATACTGTCAATTTCACTTTACAGTATATTCTGTGAAGCGCTTTGAGACATCTCGAAGACGTGATAAGGCACTATACCAAACGCAAGGATTATTATTATTATTTCACGTGGAATCACAAGATACAGTCGTGCTCTGCCGCTATCAAGTGCTCTGGGACTCTACTCTGTGTGAGGGACACTGATTACATGTAAGTTGTTGTTGTTATACTCACTGTGCAGAGCAGCACACCCGCCTTGGACTGTGAAAACTCTGTGAAAACCTTGGTTCGTGCCTGAGACAAGAAAGAGCTATTAGTTTCAAAGCGGCCAGCGCCAGGCAGTCAGTCACAGCACCGGGATGGTACAATGGGTCATCCCCACCCATCACAGTCAGTCAGTCAGAGCGAGTGGGAACACTGAGCAAGAAGAGGAAGGCCCTTTGTAACACCAGCAAGACTATGGGGTGTATGGCTGCAGAACGGCCCAGTTTGGCTGTGCTGGTAAGCTTGCCCTTGCAAACAGCTGGGCCAGAAAATCAAAAAGTTTGTTTTTAAACCCAAGTGAAAATGGTTCAGCAAAAGGGAGGAGCTGGCATCCTGGGAGATGGGGGTGGAGGGTGCGTGTCGGGGGAGAGGAGATTATATTATCTGTTTTATCTTGTACTGAACAGTAGAACCTGAGGACATGCCTGCGATTTAAGGGGGGTAAATTCAGAAAAAATCTGCGAAAACACTTTTCAGTGAGCGAGTAATAAACTTATGGAACAGGCTCCCTAGGGAGATGGTGGAAGCAGAAAGTGTCGTTTGTTTCAAGAACAAATTAAGACAGATTTCTGCTAGAAAATAAAATCTTGGGATAAAATATATAGTTTGGGACACGACATGGTGAGCAACTACCAGGATGGTGGGAGGTGAACTAGATGGATCTTGGTCTTCTTTCGCCTTATTTGCGGTAATAAGGTCATACCATAATGACCAGTAATGACAGACAGTGACGTAGGGGAAGTGGAGTCTCGCTGGGCCCAAGATACAGCAGCCCACGCACCCAGCAGTACCATATGGGGGTTGCTATTCAGTTCCATTCAAGCTCTAATTTGAAGACATAATGCACTAATTATACTCAGGGTAATAAACACTCACATTCCTCCCCTGACGCCCATCCACTTAATCTTTGTTTTGCAAGCTAACAGCTGGTCAGGGTGTATGCACCCTGGCCTATCAAACTCGCAAACTTCTGCAACCTTAAGCGGTGGCAGGATTGCCTCCGCTTGGTACATCTGTGCTGTTCTCCGCAGTGGTTTAGTGTAGTTCCGGTGTGTGTGGAGGAGGTGTCTCGCTCACAGCACTTTCTCCCTAGCTTGCTCTTTCACGCTGCCATTTGCCCTGTATTTCTACATTTCCAGCATCTGTCTCCTCCCACAACCCCCACAAAAGGCATTTGACTCTATTTTCCTTCCGCTGGAGTACATTTCAATAAACAACAATGTGCAACATTTATATAGAACCCTTCACAAAGAATAATGTCACAGAGAGTTTAACAACGTCGAAGGCGGATGCTGAGCAAGGGGAGAAGGGAGAAATTATACTCAGCGCAATGGAAGATGTCAATTTTCCACAGGGGCCACCCGTACCTTGCCAAGTGTGTGCCTTGAAAGCAAGGGCTATCTGCGTTGAGGAGGGAGGGGTGGGGGAGAGGGGGAACCTCCCCGACATAACTACCACCACCAACTCCAAAGTTCACTCAATGCCCACACTCGCACCTTCCAGCAGAGCTTCTGCACAGAACAGGGAACTCTGACTCTCATTCCCCCCCAGGGCACTGACATCAATTGTAATCTGAACAGTTGAGATCAGCTAATTCAGCAGAGACCGGGGATTTAGTCGACAACCTTCTGGCCCGTATGATACTGCCTTTACCCACTAGGCCATAGGTGAAGAGTCACACTGAGTGTCTAAACCATCCCCCTACCCCCTCACTCCGAAGGCTCAAGAGTGGGAACGAAAACTAAAGTCTCTGAGACGCGAGGCCCAAGGTTGTGTGTGTTGCTGCAGCTACGAGATGCTGTGGAACATCGCTTTATGAGGTGCAATCGTGTGAGGCCGGAGACGCTCACAGACAGTGGGATGCGATGCTGAGGCGAGGATGCTGTAACACACTGCCAAAAGCTTTGGGCCTCAGAGAGCTGTTGAAATAGAAATGTCTCAGATCTCATTTAGAAGTGTTGATTGCCGCATACTTTAAAGCTTTACTACATAATCCATCAGACACTTTACACCTCTCCCCAGGCCTGCCCAATATGGCCAACTTCTCAACGCAAAAAATGAAAACTCAGCTCTGCCTTGCGGGAACAGACAGGGTTAGTCTTCCAATATTCTTCCAACAGCTCGCTGGCTGCCTCTGCCCCACAGCCTCCCGCACACCGGGGCGGCCCTCACTCAGGCCTGGCCAATAGCTGAGCCGACCACAGCACGAGTTCACCTTCCAGCAGCCGTTTCAAAATAAGCAACAGAGGTGGGCTTAGCTGTGCACTCTGGGTCAGGGAATAGCGCTGAGTAGAGTGGTTGGGCGAGAGGGGAGGATTTAGTGAATGAGAGGATAACAAACATATACAGACGCTAGGCAAGCAGCACTCACCTCCTGCTCCATGTTCCCATGCAGTCGCAGAAACTGCACCTCGTGGGGAGATGGCTTGGCTTCTCCACCAGCTGTGTGCGTGGTGAGAACCTTGGTGAAGAGGTTGTTGTGAAACTCTACCGCCTCGCAACTGGAGAAAAAGATCATCATTTTCTGGGGGCCTTCGAACTGCAAAGAGCAAAGACCACGTTAGCTCTCAGTGAAACCTGCCGCTATAAAACAGCTCAGGATCGGACAGAAAGAGAAATCCAGCCACAACCAAAACAACTACGGAACAACTATCTCGCGATCGGCTTTCAATTTGGACAAAATCAAAACCACCACAAGGTTCCTATCTAACACACCCCAGGCTTCAATGTTACAGGGGCCAGACACATTCAGGCTGAACAGTGAAAATTCCTAGGTTTCTATGTTACAACAACAACTTGCATTTTTATAGTGCCCACTCATGCTGGGTAGAGTCCCACAGCGCTTGACAGTGGTGGAGCAGAATGCCGAGCATGGGGTAGGTGACTGTCGGTACGGTCGAAGAGGAATGTCTTCAGGTGCGACCTGAAGATGGGGAGAGAGAGGGAGGGAGGGAGGGAAGGAAGGAAGGAAGGAAGGAAGGAGAGAGGGAGGAAGGGGCAAGGCGGAATGATAGAGGAAGAGTGTTGCAGAGTTTGGGGGCATTGTGGCTGATTGTTCTATTGCAATACACTGAAGTAGCAGGACCTATACAGGGATAAATACTCACCACCCAATCATACATCCCAACTCTATTGCCCAAGTCTAACAGAGTGTTTGTGATAGCAGGAAGCCAACTTCAGGACCTGTGAAAGGACCACTGGCAACTCAAAACCGCCTGCAAACGCACTCCTTTGTGGAAGAACAGGGCCACTTTAGGCACCGTAAGGATTAATTCTTTACCTTGCACTTCTGAAGTATAAACGCCGACAGTGTAACCAGACGCAGTTTGCTTGGCACCAGCACGATCAGTTGTTGGAGCTGCTCTGGAATAGAATAGCCGTCCGAGTCTCTCTCTGCGTTCCCCTGGCACACCACCTCCTCGTTCGCTCCAGCTTCTGACGTAGGCTCCCCCACATGTGCTTCGGTGACCTGTATGTTCACTGGCTCTCTTAAACTGATTCCAGCCAATCGACTCACTCCTGGGGGTGGGGGGGAGGTGACGGAGGAGGAAAGGTTTCAGTGAGGAACTTAAGAATTGAAACTCTGTGCGTGAAGATGAACACAGTTCCTGCACCAGGATTCTGAAAAATTAAACCAACCTTCTCAATGTGACCTCAGAAATAACTTGTGATCTACACAAACAACCTTGAATTCAGTCGGCCACAAATCATTTCCACCAAAAAACATACTGTCAATTCACGTTACAGTATATTCTGTGAAGCTCTTTGAGCTGTTGAAGACGTGATAAGGCGCTATATCAAATGCAAGGATTATCATTATTTATTATTTTTCCCAGGCACTACACTCGAGGGATAGATTATATTTACATGAAGTAATGTCTAATTCTGAGTAAGCAAAGGGGAAGTGCTTGGGGAAGTGTTTGCAACAAGTGGAAATCTGGAACTCTCTCACCCAGAAGGCTGTGGATGTGGGACCCATTCAAATTTTCAAGACTGAGGTGGATAGATGTTTGTTAGGTCAGGGTATCAAGGGATATGGGGTAAGGGAGGGTAATTGGAGTTGAAGTACAGATCAGCCTTGATCTTATAGAATGGTGGAACAGGCTCGAGGGGCTGAAAGGCCTCCTCCTGTTCCTATGTTCCTAAATTTACACTCCCAACTTTAATTTAAAAATATATTGATAATTCCATGAGCAGAGCCCAGCCAACCTGAAGATAGAAGAGGGGGCAAAGCGGAGGGATTGAGTGAGAATTCCAGAGTGTTTCACTACACTTCAGGATAACTCATTGTGGGAAGCGCTTGGAGCCGTCTGAGATAATCAGTAGGATCAAAGCAAAGCAAGGACAACGGTAATATGCTGATGATTCTAATGAACACTCACCATCTGTGAGGGTGGCCGACAGCAGCACATTCTGGCGTTTCTCTTGCGTTGCATTCAGAGCGTTCAGTATTGCAGCAACATCCTTCTCGAAGCCCAGATCCAGCAGCCTGGTAATAGGGGGGGTGTGGGGAGGAGTTACATCAGAAACTTTGAAGACTGTCATGCGGCATCTGCATGCAGGATATTGCTTTGAGAAACTAAACGGCAATTAAGAAAGAGCAAATGAAATAGAACAACTTGCATTTATAGAGTGACCCTCACACAGGGTTGAGTCCAAGAGCGCTTAAATACAAGGAGGAAGCAGAAAATGATCCTGGGAAGGGGTTTATGGTAGGAGTGTTGTATTGTTGTGAGCTGAGAAGAAATGAATTACTGGTGGACAGTGTTGTGGGCTGAGAACCGTTCCAGTGTAAACCGTGTGTAAAGAGGGAATTACAGGTGTCCTTAATTATGGAAGTGAAGTAAGAAAAAGCCACTCACCGGTCAGCTTCATCAATAATAAACCACTGGACTCGCCGGAAACTAATGCTCTTGGTGTGTTTGATATGGTCCAGCAGGCGGCCTGGGGTGGTGACCAGAATGTTTATACCTTTCCTTAGCCTGCAAAAAGGAAACGCACATTCCGGTTTCTGTGGATCTACAAAACAGAACTGCAGCAAAAGGTGATGCATGGTGATGTATAAACCATGTGCAAACGCATGCGTATAGAAGGAATTAAATATCATTAATGATCAATAAGAAGGATTTGATGTTAATTACATAATTAAGAACAACTACAATTCCTCCTGTGCACATTGTTTACACATGGTGCATAATTCAACTGAATTTACCCACTACACATGATGACAGAGAAATGCAGAGTTCTATATTACACAAACATGCTGCTCATCGTACAGGCTGACCACAGTAAAACTCCGTGGTTTGTGTCCATAAAATCAGGCCCCACGTTATAACAGAGCTGTAGATACCTGGCTTTCTCGGATTTCCGCTTTTCTCCACCCATCAAGATTCCTGGGACAATCCATGTAAATGGCTGTTGAGGAAGGGAGATTGAGAAGTAAGTGCCCGAAGAAGGGGCCAGATAATAACAACAACTTGCATTTATATAGTGCCCTTCACGCTGGAATGGCGTCTTAGAGCACTTAGCATGGACTAGCACAGAAGCCACATGGTCTGCATATATCACCATTGCTTAGCAGATCGGTACACCTGCATTCACCACTGGTGCTTCTTTCCATGGAAAGTAACTCGCATATTCCCTTCCTTATCTTGCAGGAATCAGCCCTGAGAGACTTTAAAGGGAACCATCTACAAGGAAGCATTCAATTAGACATTACTGTTCACTTACCTTAAGCAGTTTCTGAATGGCTTCAAAGCTTTGCAGAGCAAGCTGGCAAAAGAGCAAACAAAATATTAACAAGCAATAATAATAATCTGTGCATTTGATATAGTGCCTTATCACGTCTTCGAGACGTCTCAAAAGGGCTTCACAGAATATACCGTAAAGTGAATTTAAGCTCTCTGGAATGCTACCCCGCATCATGGGCGATATATGCAAGTTGTTGTTGTTGACTGTAATAACACTCCATTTGGAAATGGTTCTATACTTTTGCACGTTTGGATGCTGGGTTTGATCGAGTGCCTAGGCTAACACTCCAGCACAGTGCTTGAGGAGGGAAGAAATGCTACACTGTCGGAGACAATGTTTTTTGGGCAAGATGTTAAAGTTGAGTCCAGTCCGCCAGTTTTTAGGTGAGCACTCAGGATCCTGTGAGACTGTCGGTAAAGAGAAACAAATTTCTCTCGATGTCCTGAGCAGCAGTCCTTAAGTTTAATTGATCATTTAGCTCACGGCTTAGTGGGACCTTGCTGATAACCTCTTTTGCCTACAATTAACACTAATTATCAATGAAGCCCTTTGAGACTTTTCAACATGTAATTGACAAATAGCATAAATTGTCTCTTTCTTTTCCAAATAAATAGAAACTCCTGTCTGTGACCACAAACAGTGTGGCTCGTCTGTAAGAAGAATTCCAGACTCTTGATCCTGGTGAAGGAAACCAGCACAACAAGGAGTAAAGCAGAGGCTCTTAGAACTTACCTCTCTGGTTGGGACCAATACCACTGCACATGGCCCGTCACTCCGCTGTGAACAATGGAAAGGAGAATAGTTAAAGGGTTAAAGTTCCTCATGAGCAGCAGGTTTGGCACCAGCTACAATAGAACAATGTTCTTTACCATAAATAAGAGTTCTCTGCCAGTCCCCAGAAAAAGGATGGCACTTTTGGCAAGTATATAAAATGGGAGAAGATTCAAGTTAGCGATCTACAGGCAAATTACAAGTCACATTTCACTTGGTAAGTTTACATCCTCCAACCAACCGCTAACCTACAGTATTCCAATTCCCACAAGCATAAAGCCAAAGCTAATATGCTCTCAAAAATCACACAAATTAAGCCTACCTGAATTTTGGGTTGAATTGCCTGCAGCGATTGGACCAGGGGGATAGCATAGGCTAACGTTTTACCTGAACATGAACACAACAAGAAAGGTTAATTCAACTTCTCTTTTATAAATATATCCTTATTTAACTAAAGTCTATGTTAATTCTTTACTACCCACCACTCACATCCCACAGAGTAAAACACTGACTTCTGCTTGTTAGCTTATCTTTAAACTGTTCCAAATACCTGAGCCAGTCTGTGATCGGACAAGAGCATCGTTTCCGCTCAGCAGCACCGGGATTGTTTTCTTCTGAATGCTTCGGTGGAAGGAAACAGATTGCAGAAAATTTAACAAAGATCCCCACGAGTAGAGAACAAACACGGAACGGCAGAAAAATGTACTTAAAAAAGAACAACACCCATTGATCTAGGCAACGAAAACAGGCAAGGAGTTCAAAATGTGTTAAATATTTGCAAATTGGAATTCACTGCTCTAATAAACCGTGGTCTGCACTCGCGGCTGCATGGCCTGGGTATTTTGTATGAGGAAAGTGCAATAACAAGTTGGGAGGTAAAAATGTTAGTTGCAAAACTGATCAACATGGTTTAAGTTGGCACTTAAACAGCGAGACAGGGGGGTGGGGGAGTGTCAGCATTACCTGGTCATACTGGAGACGTTCAGCACTTTGTTGAGTGTCGAGACCTAAACAGCAAGCACAGAAAGAGACAGTGACCTGTGGTGGACTCATTTTAGTAACAGTCCAAAGAAGTGTAGATCAGACTCATCATTTTATAGAGATTCAATCAGTCATTCTACCACTGGATTAAAAAAAACATATTTTGACTTCCAAATTTCATTTACCCTTACCATTTACTCAGAAATAACACCAGATTTCCAAAGCTTGGCATCAGAAATCAAGAGAAACCTGCTCAAAATATTCTCTGGCAATTAACTCAATGAGGTTCTTTTAACAGAAAGATATTTGGCTTTACTGAAGGATGGGAGCCTACTACTGACCAGGTGTGGGTGGACATCCAGCTCACTGAACGAGTCTGTGGTAAAAACCTTTTCCTTCAACGTACTGACTGGCTGGCTAACGAAAGGAAAAAAAGAGAAAAATTAGAGAACTTGTAAATTTAGAATCATTGAATCTTACAGCACAGAAGGAAGCCATTTGGCTCATCGTGCCTGTGCCAGCTCTTTGAAAGAGCTACCAACTAGTGCCACTCCTCCGCTCTTACCCAACAGCCCTGCAAAATGTTTCCTTTTTAAGTACTTATCCAATTCCACTTTTGAAACCTATTATCGAGGAGTGGTGGGGGAGGAGCAGAAACATGTCTGTAAATTAAAAATGAATGACCCTTCACATCTCGTTATAAATCCTCCTCCATTCAGCTGCACTGATACAGTATCTCTCCTTTGGTGAAAGCTGTGGTGACACTGTTTGTCCTGTTGTTTAAAAAAAACACAACCTGCTAAACACTCACACAATGCCTTGATCTGGTACCTGTGTATCTCTGGCAGCTCAGGGTTATTCCTGAAAAGGGAGGAGGTTTTGACAGGAGCCATGCTTCTCGTCTCCTCCTTCTCCCCGGATCTCCCCGTGTTCCATTTCTTCGGTGGTGACTGTTCATCCTGAGGTGGCTCAGAATTCTTCTTCCTCTTTACAGCAAGGTTTGATTTGTTGGTGGGCTTCGAAGGCAAGGGAACAATCGCAGAAGTCTCCAGCAATTTACGTTTCGTTTTTCCAGGATTTTTTGACTTTAAAAACAACAGGGAAAAAACATCAGAACCCCAAGGAGCTGGGAGAGAACATAAGAAATGCTAGACGAAAATAGACCAAGGTCCATCTAGTTCGCCTTCCAACAACAACAACAACAACAAGATTCCATTTATAAAGCGCCTTTCACGTCAGGAGGACGTCCCAAGGCGCTTCCACCTTCCTGGGGGTCGCATGAAACACCCCAAAACATATTCAACTGAGAAATTCCACATTTTACTCGAACAGCATCCCCACTTCTCCACTACAAATGTCCGTGCCCGGGTACAGCCCCTCAGGCAACGAAGTCTTGTCCAGAAAATAGATCATTAATGTCTGCCAACCTCCGCCCAATACTTTCCGGAATTAGGTAAGCAGGATGCGTCCCTCCAGGGAGAGTGACAGACAAGAGAGAGCGCATTCCATTCCAACAATCTGCCTCTGCGATTTCCACGCGTAGGTGGGATTTTGGAATTCTCAGCTTGGTTTGGAGACTCTTAAGCAACGGTGATGAGTTTCCGCGTGCGTCGGGACACTCGGCTGGGCAAAAAAAAGACAGGCGACCGGACCTTGGTTTAATATCTCGCGCTGGAAACGGGGGTTAAGAGATTCCCACCGGTGGCAGCGTGGATGAAGGGGAATGAATTTAACATCAGAGCGAGCGATAGAGAGAGCGGGAGAGTGAGAGAGACCAACATACAAACTAAATAATAATAATAATAATAATAATCCCTGACACGTGTGTGCATGCCACTGCCAGGATGGTAGGCAGTGCCTGAAACCTACTAACAAACGTCTGTGGGTGTGTATGTGCGTGTGTGTGTGTGTGTGTGTGGGGGGGGGGGGAGCTCCCAGGGAATGGCTGTCAAGTGTGTCAAGTGTAGTGACTGTGTGGGGGGGATCATTATCCAGTCAGGGAGAGCCAACGAGACACTCAGCGGATTATCCTGTGTCCAGGCCGGGAGCAGGTGCGCGCTGTGAGCAGCAGGTTGGAGGGAGCCAGTCTCCAGGGCGGACACACGGGACAGGACAGCACAGGACAGGCCGCCCTTCCCCTTCCCCCTTCCTCACCCCTCTGCCCTGGGCCTGGCGCCGGACTCTCTGATTGCGGTGAAACACCGGGAAGTTCGGGTCAGTGGTGACGTTCAGCAGCAGCTCCTCGTCCGCCATTGCCAACCGCGCGGTGTGACGAGCGGGGCCTAACTCCCCGCCTCCGTCACGCAAAAGAATCGACGCTCACCTTCCCTCCGGGGCCGCCGCTCCCCCGCTAACCCCGGGCGGCGGGAGGAACATTTTCCCCCGGTGACCCCCTCCCGCCCGGGATGCGTCAATGTCGGCTTCTTGCCCACCGTTTGCTTGGTGATATCAGGCGGCGCGGCGGGCAGCCCGGTTGCTAGGGGCGGCGGAGGGAAAGGGGGGGGCCTGACGAGGGGGCGGTCGCGCCGAGGTGGCGTCACCCGTCGGCGACGAGGGTCGGTACAAGATGGCGGCAGCGGCTGCGGGGCCCGGTAAGAGGAGAGGCCTCCAGTCGCCGGTCAGCGGGGCCCTGCGCACCAACAAGCGGGAGCCCAGCGTCAAGCTGCAGTACCCGGTCAGCGGCCCCGAGCCGCTCGGCTGGTCTGAGGACAACCGGCTGTCCATCAGCACCGGCAAGAACATCTACGTGCTGGAGCAGATCTGTGACATCCACAACAACGGGCTGGACATGGTCATCCACAGGACGTCGGTGCCGGCGCCCAGCCAGAGCTGCTCCCTCAAGGTAGCCGTCACCGACCGCTCCACCCCGGGGTGGGGGGTGGGGCTGAACTTCGGCTTCTCTTCGGCCACCACACACACACACACACACACCGCAGAAGAGAGGCTCAGTCAGCGAACGAAGAAAATATACAGTCACTACACCCGCCGGTCTATTTCTGTGAAGCACTTTGAGGCGCTATATCAAGCGCAGGGATTGTTGTTGTTGTTGTTGTTGTTATTACAGCCCGTGTGGTTTGCCCACGAAACGCACCCCCTGTCAATTCGTAATTCGCAGCGTGGCCTGTGAAGCGCCTTTGAGGCGTCGCGGTGACGCGATCAGGCGCTGCACCAAATGCGAGGGTCGCCGCTAATATTGTCACCCGCAAAGCACACAGTCAAATCCACTTTACAGTACACGAAACACGAAATACTGCAGATGCTGGAAATCTGAAATGGAAACCGAAGTCGCTGGGAATGCTCAGCAGGTCGGGCAGCATCTACGGAGAGACGAAATCGGGTTAAGCTTTCAGGTCGATGAGCTTTTGTCAAAACCCCATTTACTCACTTTTCTCTCCCTGTAGTTGCTGCCTGACCCCCTGAGTATTCCCAGGGCTTCTGTCTTTATTCCGCTTTAGAGTATATTCTGTGAAGACGTCTCAATGATGTGATAGGGCTGCTGTAGTCAAAAGGATTATTATTATTTTATTGTCAACAGGCAGGCAGGTGTGCAGAGTAAAGAAATTTGCCTAAGATCTGCCATCACGATGATGATGTTGATGTTATTACAAAAAACACCTGCNAAAAAAAACAGTCATTAGACTATGGTTGTTCTGTTGATTCATTATGTTGTAGCAGATCTTTTAATTTCCCATATCCTTGCTTTTTAAGATCTGCACTGATGATGATAATGTTGTTGATAATATAATAAATCCACAACAACAAATCGGCACAATGACCTCCGTGGTCTTTTCAGTTGGACGTTACGATCCCATGGCACTTACTGAAAAAGAGAAGGAAGTTTCTCCTCCCTGTGTCCTGGTCAACATAGAAATCTCAATCCCACCCCCGTAAAAATTGGTCGTTCACTTCACTGCTGTTTGTGTGACATTGTTGTGTGCAAATTGACAGCTGCTTTTGCCTACAAAAAAACAGTCACTAGACTAAGGTAGTTCTGTTGATTCATTATATCATAACAGATTTTTGATTCCCATCTCCTTGCTTTTTCTCCTTCACTGTTAAAATCGCTAATCTCCAGTATCAATCTTTTGAACATCTCAATTGATTCTGCTTCCATTGCCTTCTGGGGCAATGCTATACACGTGCACACAATCCACTGTGTGAATAATCCACACGTTTGAATTACTGGAGCGTCATTAATAAACCTTGGCACATAACCTGCAGATAGCATAAATACTGTCTTTTCCCCTCAAGACTCAGTGTTAAATTCAGTTTAGCCGGATGATTTAACACTATTTTTTGTCTCCGAGGACTCTTGTAGTCTTGCAACATGTTCAAGAGATAATAAATAAAAAATAATACTTACATTTGACACAGCCCTTTCATTTCTGAAGGATGTTGTAAACGCTTCACAGAATTTACTGTAAGATGTAGTAACCGTCTATTTTGTCGGCGAATGCCACAGTCAATTTACAGACAGCAAAGTTCCACAAAAAAACATGAATGCCCAATTTTATCTGGAGGATTGTTGGCGAGAACACTGAGGAAAAACTTCCTTCACTTTTTGATTAGTGCAATGGGATCCACCTGAACAGGCAGATGCGACTTCGATTTAACATCTGTCTTTGGGTAGGGTGTCAAGGCACACTGCTGTCTGATCGTGAAAGAAGATCAGGATTTGATGGTATGATCCTGGAATGAAAAGTTACTGTACTATTTGACATAAAGTTAGACTGTAGCAATGCTAGCTAACATCCTTTCTGTCATCAGATTTTAATCTCAAACCCCACCCAAAAAATTGGTAATTTTCCCGTTTGTAATTTAAGGTTGGTTCTCAGGAGGAGGTGAATGACTGTAAGGATAAGTTCCTGAGTGCAAAGGATCCAACTCTCACTCACTCCCTGATGATGGACAGAGTCTTTAATCCCGAAGGAGGTGCTTTATCGCCATTACGAGGGTTTAAATTTACCAGCTGGTCTCCCCTGAGCTGCGACATCAACGGACGATGTCTATTGGCTTCTTTGACTCTGGACAACAGACTGTCCATCCAGGTGAATGTGAACCGGCTACAATGGACCCCAGTGGTCGATCTGACGGAGGTTTACGGCGAGATGCTGTGTGAGAACAAATACGGGCTGGCGGGTTCCGATATGGGCGCCGGTTTGAAGAATTTCTCTGAGTTTCAGAGGAGACATTACATGCAGACCCCCGTGCGGATGGAATGGTCCAACATCTGCAACACCCAGCGGGTGAAAGCCAACAACGAGTGTGAGGACGTGGGCACAGTGCTGCTGGCCGTCCTGCTGGAAAATGGTGATGTGGTGGTGTGGCAGTTTCAGATCCCCTTTCTGGGCAAGGACTCCATCATCTCCTGCAACACCATTGAGTCGGGCATAAACGACCCTAGCGTTCTGTCCTGGTGGGAGTATGAGCATGGCAGCCGCAAAATGAGCGGCTTGATTGTTGGAAGTTCCAAGGGACCCGTAAAGATCCTGCCAGTGAACCTGAAGGCTGTAAAAGGTTACTTTACTCTCAGACAACCGGTGGTTCTTTGGCAAGAGATGGATCAGTTACCTGTGCACAACATAAGGTGCATCTCTCTCTACCACCCTTATCAGAAGTGCAGCTGCAGCCTGGTAGTCGCGGCCAGAGGGACTTATGTTTTCTGGTGCCTACTTCTCATCTCCAAAGCTGGACTGAACGTTCACAATTCCCACGTGACCGGTCTTCACTCTCTCCCCATCGTCTCCTTGACAGCCAACAAGCAGACCGGCAGTTTCTACACCTGCTCCGTCGATGGTACGATCCGGAGGCTGACCCCCACCTTCACGGAAGTGGCAGTGAAGTTCGAGCACAACTTGGTGAAGTTGCCCGAGTCGATTGGCTCGGTGAGGCTTCACGGGATCTGCCTGAGCCCCAATGACGCGTACCTAGCGCTGGTGACAGCAGAAGGTATGAATAACGGGCTCCATCCAGTTAGTCGAACGTACCAGGTCCAGTTTATTACACTAAAGACTCCTGAAGAAGCTGCTTCCAGGCTTCTAGAATCTTCCATCCACAACCTGTTCAAACAGGTGGACCTGCTCGACCTTGTACGTTGGAAAGTGTTGACAGACAAACAGATTCCTCCAGAGCTGGAGGAGGCACTAGACCACAAACTTCACACCAATCCCTCCAACTACCTCTGGCGTTTGCGGCTTTTCCTCTACAGGATTTTGTTTCAGACACTGCAGAAGGGACCGACTGAGGCGCTTTGGAGGTCGAATCATCGTGAGTCAAAGATCCTGCTCTGCGACAACTCGGCGGTGGCTTGTGAGGACAACCAGGATCCCGACAGCGGTGACGAGGCGGAGACCAGCACAAAAGCCAAGGGGCAGCTGGTGGGGAAAGAGGCAGCCGGTGGCCTGGCAGAGGAGCAGAAGGAAGATAGCTCCGAGGTACAGGCCCAGGAACGTTTTTCCCAAAAATTGGAAGAGATTCAGGCTAAGATCCAGGCAGTGGAGCTGCATCTGACACGGGAGCACATGAAGCGAGTGCTGGGTGAGGTGTACCTTCACACCTGGATCACAGAGAACACCAGTGTCCCGACCAGGGGTATCTGTGACTTCTTAACCTCCGATCCCACCTATGATGACAGGACAGCCAAGGTAGGTCTCACTGGAACAGCACTGAATGGAGGCCGATTCCATTATAACAACGTGCAAGAATGTTTTGAAGATAATCCACCACGCCCCACCACGCACACACACACACGCCACACACACATACTGCAAGTTTGAATGATTTATGTGACGGAGCTTTGTGCCAGTGACTGCCTGATCCCAGCATTTGTAGCTGAGCACCTAACTGCCATTCCTGTTCTCTGAACTACCTTCCCGAATCCCTCCGCTTTGTTCCTGCTCTCCCTGCCTTCCAAGACCATTTGAAAAAAAACTCTCTCTTTGACTATTGCCATTGGTCCTTAAATTACGCTCTGTCTCCACTCTGTTTGATGCTCCCTATAGTGTCTGTGAAGAGCTTCGAAATAATTCACCAACATGAAAGGTGCTGTAAAAGGGAAAGGTTCTATGGAAGGAGGAGATCACCAGATGCTCCTCATATTGGGCAGAGCCTAGAGACAGGTCCTGGTTCTGGACAGATGTTTTGTCTTGTGTTTTGGAACTGCAATTAGCAAATTCTCCATTGGGAGAGCCCAGATTTAGGTGCTTGTGACCTGAGAAGCCACCCTGGTTTTAGTGAGCCAGGCTGGGAGCGCGCAGGTACCAAGTACAAGTTGGGGAATAAAACCAACTTAAGTCAGGGAAACAAAAGTGCTGCTATGGTCTCAATAGAGTGCTTCGTGCAGTAGAATTGCTGTCATTCCAGTGCTGTGGTGAAGGAAATTAAGAGCAGAGAAGAGTCATTGGGAGCATTTCCTACCATCTATTCCAATGTTCCTGGGAGTACTTGACTTTTGTTGCATAAAACTCATTCTTATTAGTTTTCTAGATTCAGTGTTTAACGTGAAGCAATTAGTCCCCGGGGTGTACTGCATTGTAGAATCTACACAGCAGAAAATGAAATTAAACTTAGCATAAATGGGTTTTTGTTTCTGTATATTTTACCAGCAACAGAAGTAGCTGTCCTCTGTACAATGCGGGAGTGCCATGCATACTTTTTATTGGCATTACCGGAGAGTTGATACTTAACTAAAACTCGTGAAGGTAGAAATAAAATTCAGTGCCAATATAATACAAACCTCTTGCATTGCAGCTCACGCGTTCAAAAAATGAACATTACAATATTGGACGCTTTAAATGAATAAGTGTTCATTTTTAAGTAAACTTCAAACTTTGACTTTCAGAATAAATTGTAAGTTTTGTATGTGCTTGTACTTGTCATTGAGCAGATTGATTCATCACTGAACATGCTTGAGACACAGTGAGAGGGAAATGGCAAAGCCACTTTGATTTAATGGAGCATTAAATATATTCTGTGAAGCGCTTTGAGGCTTCTCAATGACGTGACAAGGCGCTATATCATATGCAAGGATTATTATTATTGTTGACGGTTCCTGGCTGCGTTTTGATGTGACAAATACTCAGTCTATTTTCTCTCTATCCCCCCCCAATTCTGAGTCTAGGTTCTGATTTCTCACAATCTGAAGAAGTTGACCAAACAGACGTTCCCAGAGCACTGCTCCCTGTGTAAAGAGATTCTCCCATTCACTGACCGGCGCAAAGCTGTCTGCCCTAATGGGCACATCTGGCACAGGTAATAGCAGTCGGCAACACAACTCTACAAGTGTCTTGGTCACACGGATTTCTGTGTATGGCATTGTTGCCGAAGTTTAAGCTGTGTGAAAGTGCATGGAAGGGAATGACTGAGAATACCAATCCTATGGGTCATCTGCATCCTAGCCTCATAGTGAAGCTCCCAGATCTTCTCCACCTCCATTGTCTCCAACTCTGTTATCAGCTGCCGTTGTGGTGTCAGAACCCAGCAGGTATTTCCCGAGTTCCTCAAGTGAACTATTAACTTTTTATACATCAATTCATTTGGCTCTTTTTTTGTTGAAAACATTGTTTGTCTGTAATCGGGAGAAGATACAGTTGAACATAATCCTTGGAGCTATGATGCAGTGCCCACCATATCCTCATAGCCTTCTCTGTGTCTTGCCTCATACCTTGATTGAATGTCTCGTTTGTGAACAACAGTTTTGATGCCTTGTTTACAGATGTGTTTTGACGTACCATGCCTGTCAGTCTCTGACCTATCGCAGATGTCTGTTGCAAGATACCATTGCTCGTCAGCACGTGCCTTCAGGTGAGCTGCCGACAAAGCCTCCAAAACTGCTAAAAGGAATAATTTGGCTGAAAATTCTTAATATCCATTTTTTTTATATATACCTCTCAGTTGCAGTGGAGCTCTCAGATTGCAGTTAATTTGTGGAGTCCTGTAGCTCAGTGGTTAGAGCACTCGCTTTGCAAGCGAGAGACCTGAGTTCAATTCCAGGCAGGGCGAAACCTTGGGCAAGTTTCCTTACTCCACACGCCTAATAATAATCCCTCCAAAAAAACAAAACAATAATAAATTGGTCATTTTCAATCCATGACTGTTTGTGGGACATTGCTGTGCGCAATTGGCTGCCGCGTTCGCCCACAAATATACAGTCAATTCACTTTACAGTGTGTTCTGTGAAGCGCTTTGGGACGTCCTCCCGACGTGAAAAGCGCTATATCAAATGCAAGGATTATTATTATTATTATAATTGGCCCCCACCCCTCTTGATTCCAACCCCCAGCTCGGGTGCAAACCCTCGACTGTCCAGCGCTGTGTAAATGTAATTTGTTGTTGTCAGGTGCAGAGCTGGGGATACATCTGACATTTTCTTAATGTAAATATCTAACTTTCTGCTCTGGCTGTGAGAGATCGAACAAGCAAGCACCTCACTTTTCCTCCCACTGAGGACTCATTGTTAATTTGACAATCTTCTCCTTTTGTAGACCCTGATTGGATAAAACGCCTGTTACAGAGCCCCTGCACATACTGTGACTCACCTCTCTTCTGACACCCGACTGTCCAGTCGCAGAGCGAAGGAACCTCCGATCACACAGATACATCTTAAGCTTAGAAGTGGGTGGAACAGTGACGAAACGTCTGAAGATATTTACCCACCTCTCGGAAAGTTGGGAGTCTAGTTTGTTTTGTTTGATAATGGCGTTGTCTTCTATCTTGAGGAATTCAGAGCTTCAGTGTGGTTCTGCAGGGCTGACACGAACAGTCTGGCAAGTTCTCTCCAGCTTTCCACCATCATGTTTGTGAGTTTGGAGACAGGAAGAAGAGTGTAATCGTTTCTCAGTCATTTTCCTCACACGTCAGGAGTAGAAAATGGAATATTGCTTCAGTCTGAGTATGGAGTGCAGTGGATCATGGGGAGTATTACATGTAGCAACAAACATTGAGCAGAGACAGGACAGGGATTCACACAGAAGAGTCCATGTGTAATAAGAAGAACCGGAGTTCACAATTGAAAAGGCCCAAATCAAGATTTGTCACTTATTGTGTTAAAAAGTGGTCGGCACTTTTAACCCATTTCCCACCTCTCTGAAGAACATTTGAGGAATTTCTTTCGTGTTGGTAGCAACCAGGTGCATGAAAGCCTGCCTTTGCTGGGCTGTACTTGGGAAGAATACAAAGAGTGTGTTTTGTAGCAAGGTAAGCTTCGTCGTGGCTTCATATATTGGAGCCTTGTCCTGGAGGTCATCGTATAACCAAGAGGCTGGTTTGTTTAGTGAGTCCTTTCCCGGACCAATCTGTAGCCTCCTGACCGCTTGTGAGTGAATGAGTGATACAAGTACAGGACCTGTAGGTAGAACAGTTATTCCAGTGTTGGGTTGGTGGGAGGGGGCAGTTGGACCATAGCAGCTGCAATATAAATTAGTCTGTTCAGGAATGGAGGTGGAAGAAATCAAGAACAACTCGTACAATAGACTTCAAAGGAAACGTACCAGCCATAAAGGACTGGTTGAGCACCAACTTAAGCTTGGAATGGTAGTTTTGTTTCTCTCTCTCTCCCCCCTTTTGTTTTGCTCAGTTTTAACGTATCACTTTTTTTGAATTTTAATTTTTTGTTTCACGACTATAACTATTGCGTACATTTGTGAACGCAACTTAAGATTTGGTAAAAACGTTTTGTACAATTGAATTGTATGTGTTTTTTTTCTGAATAAATATCTACAATCACTGTTTGGAGGGAAGGTGAATCAATGTGTGTGAGGCAACGGGAGAGTAATGTCTGGGTTAGGTCCTATGTATTTTTACATATACTGTAAGTGTATATTATAAATCACTCTGAATTACTTTAAGTGAAAGGTGCAATATATGATATATACATGTATATAGATATATGTGTATATATAGATGGTCTTGCTCCTCCCTACCTCTGTGATATTAAAACTTCACCAACCCATCCACTCCCACTGCTTTATAGGCAGTGCCCTGCTCCACATCTCCCACCCTGACTCCTCCACTACGGCGGTTGCGTTTTTAGACACTTGCAAATTCACGCGGATTGAGTGACCAATTTTTTTTTTGAAAGTATTATTACCCCCGGAAAAGCGATCCGCCAATCGACTAACAATCGGGTTCCTACTTACTGTTGGGTAAACAGAGAAGTATGGAGTAAGGCCCGGGAATCGAAACCAGGTCTCTCGCTTGCAAGACGAGTGCTCCAACCACTGAGCTACAGGACTCCATATTGTACTTGTCTGACTAAATAAATAAAGAGCCAAGCAGACGTTTGACAAGAATTTCTTAACCGTTGAAATTCCTGGACGTTACCATGTCATTAAAATGATGGCCAATGCCTTAATACAGGAGAATCTTGGAACAGTTGAATGTCATTTGTGAGGGTCAGGGTGCCGGCAGATGCAATGGACTTGATGTTTGCACAATATATTGCATGTAATCAGCACAAAGTTTTAAAAATTGCAAGAAAGAAATGGCAATGGACTTTCACATTCTGCCAAGCAGAACACGGGAATATGTATGTGCTGGAGGTTTAAAGCTTGCCATGTTTCTCGGTATTTATCCAGCCAGAACAAGCCCATCTCATTGGGGTTTGGCTTCCAGGGTTGAGGACATGTCAACACCTCCAAATGTCATTGATGAGCAAGTATGATCCCAGGAGAAAGCTCACTCACCAAGGAAGCTATTTTTAGATTTTTGTGCTACTTTAATTGACCTCAAAAGGGGGGAATGGGGGAAGGATTGAATGGATCCTGTGGGATTTGTCTGGCTCAGGGACCAGTGCTTGAAACAACTGAGCCAGCAGCAGAAATACTTTGTCCTCTAAATTACCAGTAAGATTAACGTCCACTGAGCCATCAATACAGTTCATTCCTTATATCACAAGGCATTGTAGCCCATATCTCAGCATTGTATCAGAGGTTACCATAGGGCAAAGCCCTGTGCTGGAAGGACAAAATGCCTTGTGGTAGCACACTCCTCACTGCAGTCTCGCTGCTAATTGCAACACTAATACATTCGGCTCCAGAATATAATGTAACCCATTGTAAGAAAACAAATCTAACCATTACACAGACCATAAAGCTTAAAAAGACAGAATTCTGCTGTTTCTGTATTCTTTTTCACACTCTTTGAACTCTCGCTATAAATTTAAATGTACCAAATTCATCCCCTCCCACCAAACAAAAATTCAAATGACTAATTTGACTTGAATGTCAGACATTACTAGTGTGGATTGGCTGCCACATTTGGCTATACTGTGTAATGACATTCTGTATTAATACAAGTTTATAATTTATTTACAGATTATAAACTTTTTTGACTTATTAAATCAGGTTCTGATGGCCTTATGTTTAAGGTGGACACAAATAATGTGGAGTTATCCCACCTTTTACTCCTTCCTCATCCAGTTTGCCTACAATATCACTATGTTTGACAGCAATTACCTGTGAAGCGTTCTGTGATGTTGATGTTATAGGCATAGCAAATGCAAGGGATTATTTTATTTTACAACTTCACCCTCAAATTCAAATTAATTGGTAACTCGTCTCATTGTATTTATAGGATATGCTTCTGCTGCTACTACAGATTACCTGCTCCATTTGTTCATATTAAAAAAATCACTTCATTTCTAATCAACTTTACTTTGCAAATCACTTTGAGATATATTAAGTGAAAGGCGCTATGTACTGTACGGGCAAGTTGTTGGTGTAATGTGGTGCATGTTACCTTATAAGGGGATTCTGTCAGTCAATTATTCAATATCCACCATCAGAGCACAGCTTTCCATTTAGAGCTTGTAAGCCAGAAATACCTATAAATAAATCACAACCCATCTGGAATATCTAATACGGGGGGAAAGGGGGGTGGGGGGGGCAGGTAAGTCTGACTGCAATTCCTCCATTTGACACTCTTATAAACAGCTGCAGGTGTGAGACCTTCGTAAAGATTTTCCCGAATTATTAGCATCTTTTAAAAAAAATAACTGTTGATAAATAACTGTTGCAGAGAACATTGTTTGTGGTGTGGGAATGTGTGCCTGCGATGACACCCAACTCGCCAGAACAATGTCCCTTTAAAAATGCAGCCACGAATCGTTCATTGTCGTTTGTTCCTGTGAGTTGGTTTTATTCCCCCAACAAGATCACAAGCGCAAAGACTCCAGACGAGAATAAATTAAACAGAAATCTACTGTGNTTTTTTTTATCCTTGCATTTGATATCGCGCTTTTCACGTCGGGAGGACGTCCCAAAGCGCTTCACAGAATATACTGTAAAGTGAATTGACTGTATATTTGTGGGCGAACGCGGCAGCCAATTGCGCACAGCAATGTCCCACAAACAGTCGTAGATTGAAAATAACCAATTTATTATTGTTGTTGGAAGGCTGCTCGTTGTATTTTGCTTGGACGAACCCAGCAGACTGCACAACCCCTTAGAGAGAGGTGTCTTGTCTTGTCTCTGCTGGAGGACAAGGCTGAGCTGAGCTGAGCAGGTGGTGTCAGCCTCTGGAGACCTTCCTTTAATGTAGACCGAAACAGCTATTTTTTTTAAAAAAACACACAATATTTTGTCTTGTTCGTTTATAGTTCGTTTTTTTAAAAAAAAACTCATTTTCACGTCGTGCTTTTGAATGACAAAGTTATTTATTATTTATTTATTTATTTGAATGACAAAGTTACCTAAAACCAACCCTGAAAATATTCCCTTTATTTTTAACAATAAAGGGATCCCAAGCGATCGCCACCAACGGATATAGCAAAACCGTAGCCGAAATTAAGTGTTTACTGTGGGATTGTCTGCCTTTAATACCCAGAGCAGTAATTAGACTGACTGTACAGTCCTAATGAAGAGCCATCTCTGTTGTTCTCCATTTCTGAGGGATCGTTAAACAAGAGTATTAACATGTTCTGCTGCCCCACAGCTCAGTGCGTGGTTCCCAGTGGATCCCAGAGGGTCACTGACTGACCCGAGTCTACATGTCGAACACGGGGAGAGTCCTGTCAGTGAGCACTGTGTCTTATTTGCATTCATGTGTGTACTCACACACCGAAGTAGAGAAAAAAATAGAGCCACTGCAATGAAGGAAGTTTACTGCAAACCCGATGGCATTAAGGGAAGAGCATCTGCCCTAATCGGTAGGTCCTTAAAGGGGTTTAAATCATCAGCTGCCAGGCTGGGGGTGGAGGGGGCTGGGGGGGGATAAATCAGATATAAAGCTCTATCTAGACATTTCAACCGTTTCCACAGCCCTGATACATTTATTGCACTTTGTACCCTTAGTTTGCAGTGTCAAATGTTAAAAAAAAACTCAGTAGAAATAAATTGTTCAAATAAATATCCATAATTAAATACATGGTGGCACGAACGTGGCTCAGTTGCTGAGCAAGCAGAGAGCTGCTTCTCAGACAGATGGCCACGGGTTTGAGTCCCAAGTCCTTGCCACAGCTGGAATGGATTTATCCCTTCTCCACGAGGTCCCCAGATGGAGGGGTGGGATTGTGGGAGAGGGTGGGGGACTGGGGATGAACGGGGCATCTCTTACTCCAGAGTGATTGTGAGAACACTGCATCCTGCACAACAATTTGTACATTTGCAATGTGATCTAATTTATGGCAGTCGATGACTGTCTGGTTATCTGCTTCCTAACTAACCGCTTTGCAAATATCCTCTGTGCAGTATAAACTCCATTTCAGCAGCTTAGACAGATGATGAGATTGGTGAGGTGACCCGGCGTGAGGGAATCCCATTAATCGCATTTTGCTGTAAGAATGTAGGAACAAGGATGCGTTTCAGTCCACAAATCCCTTTCCTTGACACTACCCACTACTATCTAACGTGTGTCAGCTTGGCTCAGTGATAAGGCGTTATATCAAGTGAAACCATCATTATCATTATTTCCCCTAATCCCAACTCCCTGCTTTTTCACTATATCTTTTAATATTTTTACTTCCCAAATATCTATTCATCTCCTTCTTGAATCCTTCAAATCATTCCGCATGCACAGCTCTTTGAGATAGGAGCAGGACATTCAAACCTCGTATCACAGTGAAAAGAAACACGTTCTTGCCCTTTTTTCCTTAATTTTAAGATCAGTTCACACCAAGCATTCTCTTAGCTACTGCAGTGGAAGTTTATACAGTGTTTCACAGAGCCATGAAACAATTTATAACACTGAAGTACTTGCAGATGCTAAATTCCTATTTAAATCTGTCAAGATTATTGTTGTTTCTTTCTGCCTCATGTCTTCACAGTCTGTGTCCACTCTTGTAAAACGCTTTGTCTCAAATAAGAAAACCTTCAGCAATTTTTCCCACTTCCCAGACTTTAAGTTACATTTTGAGGAAAAAAACTCATAACATTTTCAGTTACATATGTATTTTAGCTCCATTTTATCACATTTATTTTTAAATGATTAGCACCAATGTCTCAAATGTGATTCCGTTCATCTACTATAGAAACTCTGAAAGTTCAAACACTTTGGCCCAGTGCGCCTACCAGTCTGACTTGAAGCATTGTTTACTTTCAGTCAAGTGCCAAGCTGGGACCAGGTTTACCTGCACGAAACACAAGACTGTTGAGCTACATCCACCAATGGATGTAGCTACAATTGCTGTTATTGGGAAAGGTGAGGTTACAAGGCTCAGGCTTGTAGCAATCCGCTGGCTTCCAGAGTACTCACCCACTCTTATCTGGCTACCCTTAATGTCAGTGCTTGAAGATGATCTCACAGGAAAAACGAAAAACAAAATCCACATTCGGAGGAGCTATGAATGATTGTAAATGCCTGAAGTTACTTTATTTGAAAATGAGTGACTCAATCAATAGCATTTAAACAAAACATTTATCACAGAAAATGCCATGTTAACACTATTGATTAGGAAGCTTTGCGTTTTACTGGAGGATTGAGAACACTGCTCTCGATAAACTCAAACACCGTGTGAGGATCCTGGTCTGCGTTAATGTGGATGACAGCCTGATAGAATTTGCCAAGTTCCGTGACGTGGTCATGATACACCTTCAGTTCATTCTCCACATGTTCCAGGGAGTCCTTGGGGTTCTGCTGGCAGCGAGCTTGAACCTCACTATTTGGTGCAGGTTTGTAGACGGAATGATATCTAAAAAGCAAACAACAATTACATTACACAGAGGGTTTGAGCTCACACTTTCCATCAGCAGGGTATCTATCCTTCAGATGAGATGTTAAACCAAGGTCTAGTCTGCCTGTTCAGGTCGATGTTAAAGATTCTGTTGCATCCCAATTGTTTACAGAAGTACACAGCCACGACACTTCACAGTGAATCCTGAGAAGTGCTCTGAGACAGCCTACCCGATGTGAAAGGCACTGGATCAAATACAAGGATTATTTTATCTGTAAAGAGAAGGGAGTTTCTCCCACAGTCCTGGCCAACAATTCCCAAAGCTCAATCAGTTATTTATGGCTTTTGTAACACCTTATCAGGTACAAATCATCTGTTGCTAATGTCTTCAAAAATAGTCACTACGCATGACAGCAGTCACTTGTAAAGCATTTTGCGACGTCTCAATGTTATAGATACAATATCATATGCAAGGATTATTATTCTTGTTCGGGAATATTCGAATCAGCTTTCAGGGCATTAAATGATTTAGAACACGTTAGAACTGATAAGTAGGTTTTATAGCAAATGTTTATGCTCAATCACAATGCAATGATTTAAATTGAGATAATATTTGTAATGATTAATTAAATATATAATGGTTATAAAAATCATAAATTCTTTGGGACCAGCTGAGCAGTGCTGCAGTAAATGGAGCTAAGGTGATTTGTTAATGTATGTTATTATTTTGTCAATTATATTTGACAAAATCTGATATTTTATTATGGGTGGCGTAATTTAAAATGGGCCCAATCTAACTTAAAAGCAAATCAAATGTGAAAGACCAGCAATAATGGGTATGACAGAAAACCATTACCAGTAAATATTGTGTTCCAAAAGCCCACATTAAATTATGCATTTAGAATGAAACATTTACCCAATCTGCAAATAGAGGATTGCAAGATTTTGAAAATAAACTAAAACGGTAAAGAAAAGCAACATAATCTACTGGCAACAGTTTACACTAACTTTCTGGAGCTTGGTTCTTGCTGACCATTAATGTTTTTCTTATTGAGAAATGAAGTACAGAACTTTTTTGGAAAAAGGGTGAGATGAATGAGGAAAAATATTACAAGCATAGGTGCTGAAATAGAGAACTGTAAAGGGTTTCAAAAGGAAAAACAGGCAAGTTTCTGGAAATGAAAAGGACTCAAGGTTGTTAGCGAATGCGAGAGATATGTGGAAGGAAAAATCTTTTGTAAGGTTAGATGGGTAACGGGGTGAAGCGATGGCCTACTCTGCTCGAAATCTCTCCAGTAAGATAACAAAAATGTATTTGACCATTGGATAATTGGTGATTTTATTGGTTAACACGGTTGATATAATTCATCACCAATTTAACAGCAATACCGACCTTTCACCTGTGACTGGATCCGTTGTCCTCAGTGTGAGACGCTCAATGATAGCATCATCAGGAACATCCATAAAAAAAACTCTGTGAAAAAGTGAACAAATTAGACAGAAAATTACACACAGGCTGAGTTTGTAGCAACATTATGAATCATTATGAAGTAGAACTGAACCAATCCAATTCTACATGGAATATAATATAACAGTGTAATGCAGTGTAACACACTATCCCTCTCATGCAAAAGACACTATATAATTGCAAGTTGTTGTTATAGTGTAGAGGTTTCTTAACACAATAAAGTAAACCTTAACACTGGAGTCAACAAGTTGGTCTCTACATAAACAGAATAGTTTTTTTTCAATAATGTAATGTCTTATGTAAAGAGATGCATATCTGAGGCCACAAATGTAGATGGACTTTATTGAATCTCAACGCAGAACTTTAAAAATAAATTGTCATTAATTAAAAAAAAAGCCAAGGCCAAAATGGGCAAGGCAGCACTTCTTGTGTTGAATACAATGAAGCACGTGTCATGGATATGTGGGGAAATGGGAACCAAGGAACTGCCACTATATGGAGCTGGTCTGTAACACAGAAAAGGGGAATCTTCCAGGGCGGTTTCACATGGCACTCAGAGCTCTCCGAGACACTGCCCGTGTGAAGGGCACTTCACACGGTTCTAGTCTCTCGGAGAGTTCTGAATGCCATGTGAAATGTAAATTGTTGTTGTTGTAAAATAGGGTTGGAAGGACTTGTCATTCTTTCTGGATGGGTAGGTGATCCAGAACGGAGAGCGATGAATGAAGAATCTCACTGCATTCCTCTCAGACTTGTTACTTTCTACAATCTTCAAACACCGTGGGTCCTATTCACCCTTCGGCGCTTTTGAGGCTTATCTGGAGCTTCTCCAAAATTTCAAAGAACTCTCCGGAAGTCTACTTTCTGCATTTTCACAGAAGAAAAAATGCCAAACGAGATAAGCTTCTGACTCATGGTCACAGCCTACAATAAACATATTGCGAGAAATTCAACTGTAATAATATAGATACAAGTCATGGTGTAAATCGAATATATATTGCCGGCAGGGCGAAATGTTAGGCAAGTTTCCTTACTCCACACGCCTCTGTTTACCTAGCAGTGAGTAGGAATCTAGTTGTTAGTTGATTGGCGGATCGCTTTTCCAGGAGTAATAATCCCTTCAAAAATAAATTTTAAAAATAATAATTGGGTCACTCAATCCACCACTGTTTGTGGGACACTGCTGTGCGCAATTGGTTGCTGCGTTTCGCCCACAAAATATACAACCATTTCCCTTTACGTACATTTTGTGAAGCGCTCTGAAATGTCTCGGAGACGTGATAAGGCGCTATATCAAATGCAAGGATTATTATATATCTTCCATCTTCAGAATCCTGTCCTGTTTGCTCCTCGAGTCAAGTCAGTCAGTCAGTAGGTCGATGCCCATATAGCAGACGCACTGGTCCTGTCTCGGAGACACAGCTCCTCCAGCTCAGCCCCTGCTGGCCATTTCTTGTTCAAGTCATAATTGATTGTGACAAATCTAACCCAGTTGTGAATAAAATCTCTCCAGGGGGCAGGGGAGACACTGTATTTTGGCTGCCATTAACTGCTAAATTAGCAACCACTTCAAGCAAATTACAACATCACATATAAAAACTCATGAATCCAATTAAAAATAAAAATAACTAAAAAACTGACGACCTGTTGATAAAATCTTACAATAAACCCCAAAACCAATCTTAGTGAGGCTCTGCACAGAATTGATTACATATTTAACTATTCATTATAAATTAATTTAAAAAAAACACACATCAAGAGCACCCCAATATGTTCAAACGTTGCAGGAAGCTGGCAATCTCACATTCAACTGTGTAAATGTTCTAAAAGGTCCTGAATATTTTATGATTATTTGTCATAAAACAGAAATAATAACTACTGAGCAAAGCTATTAGTATTAATATTTATGCTGCCCGTGCTGAAATATTCATGGAACAGAGAAAGGGTTGTAAGATGAGAATTAATTTACATTGTGCGCTGTTTACCAACCAGCCTGATGTTTAGGCAGTTGACAAGCACAGATATGGATCTGTCACTCAGTTTCAGTGTCAGAGAGGAAGGTGGCTGTCAGCTTGAAGATTGAGTTTCTGACAACTGAAAACCTGAAAGGCTTTCCCCTTCTCTTTTTTTAACATTTTATTTGTCCACTTTTTTCCGCCTACGGCTATGTATGCCACCCGTTCATCCGATCACCCTTCCATCTGCTTAAATTAACGAATTAATGAGAGATACACTCTACACCAGCCCAAAATGTTTATTGGTGATTAAATTATAATGGGAGCTGTATAATTCATAAACCAATTAGTGGAAGTGTTAGCTGATTTGATGGGATGAGGAGGTACAAACTGCATTAACTAATAGAGAGCTTGGGGCTGCCGCTTGCCTGCCGCTCCGATTACGTGTCTAATTGCTTTACTTTATCTGCCTGTCACAGATAGCCATGCATATTTCATCGTTCTCAAAGACTTCAATTGTTTACTTTCTTGTTGATCCTGTAATATGTAGAAGCTGAGCCAAGCTTTTGTGTAGTTAAAACCATTCAGAATTGAATCAGTTTTGGGCTATGTGTAAGGGAGGCTGAAAGAGAAGCCCACTTATCTCTTTTGATCTACTTTGGAGCTCATTTTTCTTTAATTTCCTTTCTCGTCATGCCTACTTGTCTTTCTCTTCGTTTGGAAATGTGTGGTGGTCTCTTCTTAGTCTTTTTTATTTGTTTTGTCTATCAAGGTGAGAGTGACGGTACTGGGAAATAGAAGCTTTTGGTCTTTCACCCGGTGACAGCATCAATCACTTCCAGTTCTGGTATATTAATTACGTGTAGTGTACAGCACTCTCCACTGCCCTAGAAAATGGGACTGAACTCCTACCTGTAAAGAAGCATCTCCAACGCACAATAGAGTAACAGTTACATTGCTTACACCAGTAATCCTTATGGTGTCTGCGTGAGATTACCCAATTAGGCCTGAAAGGTGGGCACTTTTATGCAATGGACTCAGCATCCACTGGGAAATGGTTCTGTCCAAACTCATTTTGGTAAGGACCCTTAATGTTTACCAGAGAGAGAGAAACTTTCATCTCATCTGTCTGGACTGGCCCATAGCTCTTTTCTCCACTGACAAGAGACAGACACAGTTGCTGTGGGGCAAAATTAATTTAATACCAGTTTTTTTCTCTCTGTGATGAAACTTTCTGCCTCTCGAAGACATTTCCCCCCAGGATCCTGGCTGAGAGCTGACAAACCCACCACGCGCACACACACACACAAGTGGATGAAGGACTCAACATCAGCCACAAAACTTGGAATTAATGTCTGATAAGAGCCTTGCAAAATCAGTATCAGAGCGGCCTCTGTCACTGGGCCACCAGACCTATATATACAGTTTTTTTTAAAACCAACAACACACTTATGCTGCAAAGTCCCAAGTTGTCATTTTTTTAATAAAAATCAAAATGTATAAGACATCCTGATATAACACATTGTTTTGACACAATGGCTAAAATCAAATGTTGTGGATTATTCTGTGAAAATATTCAGTAAACGCCACATGTAATTTAAGGTGAAACAACCGCAGTTCACAATAGTACATGCTCTGGTGGACTACCATTTTTTACTTTGTGACATTTTTCTATTGAGCGAAGCCTCATTTTTTCTTTGACCATCAAGAACACAAGAAAAGCTCAGCTGAGACTTGAGGATGGAAAGGAAAATAGCTACATAGTCAGTCTATAAACAGATTCCAGTGCTGCCAATCTCTGAGCTAAAGGTTATGTTCTCAGTTGACAGTTTATCCATTCTTGTCATGTCATGGAGACGTCTCAAAAGACGTGATAAGGTGCTATATAAAATGCAAGGAATATTATTTTTCTGCCATTTATTTAGACAATAAAATGGAGCCTTTATGGCTCTATTAAGATGTCCTTTAGGGAAGATCAATTTTAAGAAACAATACTTGAAACACATGGAAGTTGCTACTCAGTTAAAACAGAAACATTTGTTCTTTATTAGGTTTCCTAGCTGGCCTCACTCACCTTTAAAGTGCTAAACCTCTACCTGGGTGCACCTCATCCAAGAATGGCCATGTGCCAAATCTATTTGCTACAGATCAGCATATGACAATGACAATTCCTAATCTATTTGGTGCTCCATTCTGTTCTATTTGTTTTTCCTGGAACAACCCAGGACGGCAATGACCCATCCAATGGCTTGCACAGGTCAGTCAGTTGAGCTTGGAACAAAAAGTCCAAATCCCAGTGGATTCACTCAATACTTTTTGTATTCCATATCAAACATCAACCTCAGTCGGGTCAGTTTGAGCTCATATGAAAGTGCCAACAGTGCTACACCTACCTGATTAGATAGTAATTTTTGATAGATTAATGAGCTCACAAAACACAGCATTTTTGAACAGAATGTTTGCATTGCAATGTTGGTGTCCTGGATTTGGGGTAAAGTCAATAAATCCACTTTAGTAACTTCTCCTTTGCTGGTGAGCATGTCTCTGTAATTTATATTAACACAATCTTCAAAATTCATGCTTACATCTACCCCTGATTCGTGTCTTCACGAGTGATTTAGACTTTTTGTAAGCACTAGAGTTATAATCGTAAATAACTAACAATGTTTCAATGCAGGAATGGACATCAGCAGGAGTTTGATTCCTGAATGTCCTCTGAAGGCAAAGATGAGTTGTTAAATCCTAACGAAATATTGAATGTGGGTACTTTTATCGCAAATGTAATTTTAAAATTAATTAGAAAAAAAGAAAAAATAGAAAGAAGCCGGTTTGTGGCAAGCTTGTTCTTCATGTCCTGCCCGTCGAGTTACAGACTCAGCAAATCTGGTCGCCTGGAAGCAAGTTGTGTAATACAAGCCAAAGACTCATGAGAAACAATTGACTTAATCCGTTAACCAGAGCTTTTATATTTACAGTTCAGTATTTTTGGTAATATGGGGATTAATGGAAACAAATGCTGTAGCAATAGCAATCTATAGAAGACAGTAACAGGTGGCCTAAAAGTCTTACAACATTTTAAACTTAGTTGGACTAATGCTTTCACCATCTGGGGTTACTGTGATTAATGATATAGGTTTAGCGGTTGGATGTTAGATCATCAATTAATGAATTGAAAGATCTTCTCCTCAAAGCATTCCGATACTCGGTTTTCAAATATCAACACTGTCACTCCGGAGGGAGGCAAAGTGCAATGACACAAACACACTTTCCATTTCAGTTTCGCAGTCCATGGCAAAGGGAACATTTTCCCTGTGAAGGAGTCACCACGCAATGGGTTTATTTTGGGACAGTGAAGAGCTATGCAGTGTACCGGTGTGCATTGTGGTGCTTCAGGTAATCAGATAGTTGTTAATTAATGAAACTGTCAGGTGAATCTCTCATCTTGGGTCATCATTATCCATTCAGGAACTGGATCCCAATATCATTAACAGTATCCAGTGCAACTTGCAGCTCAATTAACTTAATGTTATGCAAATGATGCTCTCATCATCAGCTTAACCTACAATGTTAATAGCATAATTGGGCCTTCAAATAGGGCAATTAAACAAGGTTCCTTTCATTAGTCTTACAAGGCTAATTATTGTTAATAGGAGACAGGGACAAGATCCCAAGACTACGAAGCAGAGGGGCAGCTGTCTGAAGAATGCAAACTAACACATAAGAGGATTGATTATTAATTCTGCAGTACAGTGTGGGATTCTTTTGAAAGACACACAGAATGAAATATTCAGATGAAATATTCGGTGAATTTCACTGTTGTACTGCAAACCATTGAGACTTTCACAAAGTACTTTCCTCACAAGAGTCCTTCTCATCTTCTACAAATACCCAACTTTACTAATCCGAATTATTTGTTGTTACTTTGACTTCTAGCAACCTGCACATGTCAGATCAACTACTCTCAAATGTATCAGCTAATAGCCACACAATCATACTCAGTAGCTGCAGTCTCTTAAACTATCCTTTATCTCACCAAGATTTTATTTTGGTTACGAATAATCAATCTTTGCTGCATCGTCTATTGACCTGATAACTGTTGCAGTAACAAACAAGCAAACATATTAACAACTACAATATGCACTTCTTTCAATCCACAATGTACACATCAACAGTGAGCCCACATCAACCCTGAGCTCAGCTCTACTCAGCCAAAGATGCACAAGTGTAAATCAATAAAATAATGCATCTTTCAACACAAGAAGCCATTTGCCCTCATTGTATCTGTGCCAAAGTTCACTGAAACTATCTACTGATTGGGTAGCTCTTCCAAAGAGCCGGCACCGGCATGATGGGCCGAATGGCCTCTTTCTGTGCCGTAACATTCTATGATTCTATGATACTCTAATCTCATTCCCTCACTCTTTTCTCTCATTTCCCAGTCCTATCATGGACTACACAAGAAAATAAGCCACAAAACTCAATCGACTTTGACACTGAAATCGTATCAGCTAGTTGTTATTCTCTTTGTATTTACTGTAATGTACTATGATGTTGTACTGCAGTATAAAAAAGAGCATTGATCCAAGAATAATTTCTCATCTGTGCCAGTGGAGTAAGTACAGCAGCTTCAGATCTTTTACCCACTGTGTGTGGAAGGAAGAAACGGATATAAAATAATTGCTGGAAAATGGAAAATGCCATTTAAATAGCGGCATTTTTCTAGCTTGCTCAACAGACATTCATTTAATTGGACCATCGAAGGCTTAAGACCATATTTACTGTTGGGAACAAACCATTCAAAAATACATTAGTTTTTGAAAGTGAAAAAAAACAAACAAGCTTATTCATCAGTAGTGACTGACTAGTGACTCCTTTGGTGTTTGAGGGTGGAAACCACACAGGAGGATTGCTACCCTAATGCTTGCGGAAATATCTCTCTCTACATATCAAGGCGAGTGCAGATTCTTGCTTTTTGCACATTTGGTTCTGAAGCAAACACATCTTCTGAGTATACAGTTGCTGAATATATGATTACCATTACTGAGTAAACAAATATCATTGCTAAGAACACTGTGGCAAGTACACAGTTATTGTTACTGAGTATATGATATGCTTACTGAGTGTTGTTGCTGAATATATGGCTATTATTATCTAACATACCAATACTGATGCTGAGAATACCACCACTGTTACCGATTATATGTCTATTGTTACTGTCTAACAAAGCATTTCAAGACCTCTCAGAGGCACAATAGGGCTCTACTTAAAATGCGAGGATAATAATCTGTTTCTGACATTACTGCTGTTGCATAAAAGAATAATTTCCTGGTACACACTGGTTGAAAGCAAAAGAAAGTTTCCTCATTTATAAACTGCTGTACAATTTGATTCCAGATCAATGAAATGAACAAATCTGTAAACACCACTCGAGTCACACTGGCAGGTTAGACCCTTATTAAGCTTTAACCTAAATGCTCTGGTTAAACAGGAAGAAACAGTAGTTAGCAGTGGCTGGTTTACATTGCTGAAGCAATATCACTCTCAGTCTCAGAGCCTGCTTCACACCTCCTTCTCAGCAAGGTATTGGGTGAGGGGTGAACTCACAGCATGAGCAGACCTCCAAAATCAGGTGTTACTTTCACTATCATCGAAGAGCTGGTCACACACTGGTCCTGCAGTGGGTGTCGGTCACACATGCCATTGAGACCAGGTGGTTCCAGGAGAGGCAGTCCTTTACGATATTCCCTCACAAATAGTGCACCTCTGACCCATGTTGTACTTCACTGTAAATTAACATGAAAAAGCAACGGTTCGCTATGAATTATGCAGATCTTGCACAGAATATAATTAGAAGCAAAACTGGAAATGAGAAGGAGTTTGCATGAATTGTTTGTTTAAAATTTGCCAAAGCCTCATCTTTACACACAGCCATTTTGCAGTCAGCTCCTTGCAATAGTGCATCTATTATTTTGCAGAATAATCGAACACTGCCATCTCTCACCCAATGGAAGCGCTTTCTCTTCAAACAGAACCAAAGAGCCATGAATATTCCACTCCACGCCCAACAAACTTCTTGTAAATGGCAGGGATAGAGGACAGGTATAGCTGCATAAGCACTGTTAATGAGGAGGAAGAAGCTAGTGAAGCACGAAGAACTGACACCGAGCACTCAAAGTGGCTAAAGAGTGAGGTGCTGGTAATGTGCTTATTAACCTCTCTTGCCCCTGGATTGTGCTGTAGATTTCAACTCCATTTTCCTGTTGAACCCTCTATTAATCTGCTGTGTGTTCTCAGTAATCCACACGGGGATGGTGCTGGAGAAAGCTGAAGTCTGTACAAACACATCCCACTGATGAAATTCGTTTACCTGTGCCTAAGTAGTGAACTGTCTCTGCTGCCTTTCCCAGCGTTAGCTCAAATTTAATTCCAGCTGGGTGAGTTGATTTTCTCTGGCCAATTTCCTTCCTTCTTCCTCCTCCCTAAAAGGTTTTGCGCTCGGTCTTCAAAACAGTCTTTTTTTTAAAAAAGCTGTTTTTTTCTGGAAATTCTTTGAAAACTACAGAAAAGCAACTTTGAAGTTGAGACTGAATGTTGAGACAGTTTGCCAAATTCTGGATGCTCTAAAATGCTAAGAAAATAGAGTAAATCTAGACACAGATGGAAGTTTCCCCCTGAATGTTGTCAGGGTAATTGATCATCGAAGATGTACCAACAAAACGTAATTTTGTCCTTGGTCAAAGTTAATTTTCCGACAGGTATCTATCTCTCAATGAGGAGGTAGCGTGATGCCTGCTATATAGATGTCCTTGTATTTTCACTTCACTGATGGCCATGTGGAATCGCCTGCTGTATTCCCCCCTCCCCTAACTTTAGCCCTTCACTGCCACCCTGAGACCACCTCACTCAGCTCAGATCAAAGAACATGGACAAAGAGCCATCACTGCCACTTAAGTACTCACTGGATAAACTAGCTGAACCTCTCTCTTCCAATTTAATAGTTAGGATTCTGACCAAAAATATGTACAGTGTACAGTCAATCCACTTTGCAGTGTATTCTGTGAAGCATTTTGAGATGTCTCAACAACATGATAGGGTGGTATATCAAATGCAAGGATTATTATTACTAAGGTAACAAATCTATAGGCGAGGTACATTGCACACACTTTATACACAGGTTTAAAGGTTGTACAAATATCTCACCTGTTCATCAGGAATCCTTTTTCCTCTAGCAATGTAGCCTGTTCTATGTCTCGGGGGAATCCATGAAGCACCCACCCCCGAGTAATGCAGTCTAGTTTAGACAGTCTTTCTTCCAGACACCTCAATACCATGCTATCTGGAACTAAACACCAGACAAGCACAATTACATCATTACATGATAAATCGTGTTACGTTGAAATATGTTGAAATATTTCAACCTGCTTCACAGAGGTTTCTATAAGGTGTACAGTAGAACTGTGTTTTTGCAGATGTAGAAACAATATGCGCTCAGCAATATCCCACAAACAGCCATCAAGTGTGACTTTGTTTTAAAAAATCTAGTGAACGTTTGTCCAGAATAGTGGGAGAAACTCCTTTCTCTTTTTTAATAGTCCCATGAGATCTTTAACGTCCACTGAGCGGGCAGATGGTTCCCCGATTTAATGTCTCAACCAAAGGACAGTATCTCCAACAATGCAGCTCTCCATCAACACAGCATTGGAGTCTCGGCCTGGATTGAGCTCAAAGTCCTCACGTGGGGCTTAAACCCAACACCCTCTAACTCAGACACAAAAGTGCTATCAACTGAGCCAGGCTCACGGTCATGTAATTTCTTGAGGTCAAACGATAAGTGGTAACTGAACTGTTCGATAGATGATGTCAGTTCCATTCAAAAGCGTTCACCCAGTCTCAGTCTATTTTATACTAAAATGTAAGTTTGTGCAGAGCAGTGGAAAATTCTTAATTTCCGGCTAAATTTGGAATCAGTTTTTTTTTAAGAATTGTGGAAAACCAGGACCAACAGAATGATCCCACGGGCTGAAACGAGGCAGAATGTTAGGTCTCCAGTGTGCAGTTGGCGGTAACTATTCAGCATTTTTGCATGAATACACAGAGATTCAGTGATGCAAAGATGGAGAGTCAATGCATCACTACTGAAAGTGGAATCAATGCTGAATCTTTCAGTGTCAATGTGGCACTGAAGATAATCTGAAGTTTTTTTGATATGCCTGCCATCTTCTGGCTTGTGGTTGAAACAACAGCTCAGTTACAAATCAAAGCCACCTCGCAACTACTGCACAAGCAATTATTTCTGATCAGGACTTTGCTTGCCTCCTGCTTGCATCATTTGGGGGTGCGCTGGTTCGTTTTTAATTTCATTCCCAGCATTTCCACTTGCTTTTCGGGTAGTTTTACAGAAATGGGTTCTGGTTTATGTCAAAATAAACCCATCCTCTATTCTGGAAACAGAAGCACAGATACAAACGTTCTCCAGGATCCGTGGTTTTTCCACTGTAACCAGTTAAAGGAGAAAGTGCAGATTCTGAGCAGTTTAAATGTTGAATTTGTCACTGTGAGAACCACGTTTTAATTAGGGATAGGAACACAAATGAATGTATGAACAGCAAATAAACCCCCAAAAAATATAGGGCAACTAACCCTACAATGAATATTAATTGCAACATTTTTTCGCCATTGTATTCCTATAGTCACAATGCTCTGTCTGGGCGACCCATCAATTACTGTCAATGATATCAAACACATGATGTGAAACTGCTTTCTCTCTCTTCTCCTGCTGCTCTACTGTTTATCAGTCAGCCATCAGTTGGTGATTTTTCCATTCGTCTCTCCCATATAAAACATTAAACTTAAAAAAAAATGATGTTTACAAAAGTAACTTCTGACATTAAGAGCTCCAACCCCTGATATTGCTACAGGATCACACTGCGACTTGGTGCTCCAGTGGGTTACAGCGTGCTGGTGAGAGCTGAAGGGTTTATTGATGGATTGGATGAAAGTGTCCCCAGTGGATCATATGTGTACAAATCCTCTGCATGAAAACGGCCACAACCCCTCAATCAGAGAAGCCGTAAGGCTCAACAGTACGGTACATTTAGCTTGACAGATGAGAGACAATGGATAACGCACTGAATCGAAGATGTAATATTGCTCTTGTCCAGGTATATGGAATTAAATGAACATAACAGCCCACAATAATGGAAAAGATACTTCCATTCTCCAGCAAAAATATCTTCTCAATGCTGATAAAACACAGACGCAGCACACACACACACAAATCACAGCTGCCTTGAGCGTATCAGAGCGATGAGTACTAATTAACATGTAAAGTCTATAGATGACTCAGTGGGTATTGCTAGGTTAATAGTTCTCCAATATACTAATTGAGAATTAGCACTACCCAGTTCAGCAGTGAAGGTCACAGTATTTGGGATATGTCAGGGGAATTTATACAATCACAACATGGAACTGGCTACATATATGTCTAACTGATGTATACAAATGTAATTTTGTTGTTGTTGTATGGGAAAAACACAGGAACTGCACAGCAGGTGCTTGAAACCAGAAGATTTGAAACAGCAAAAACTTTTGACTTGACTCGGTGTTGCCTCGTTGCAGGTTCAGAAACTAAATGTAATAATAATAATCCTTGCATTTGATACAGCGCCTTACCACGTCTTCAAGATGTCCCAAGGCGCTTTGACCGTGCCTTCGGTCACCCTCCTTCCCCCCCTGCCCTCCAACCTTCCCCAATCCCGACCCCCAGCTCGGGTCCGAAATGCTGATTGTCCAGCGCCTTGGGACATCCTCCTGACGTGAAAGGTGCTATACACATGTAAATTTTGTTGTTGTTCACAGATTATACTGTAAAGTGAATTGATTGTATATTTTGTGGGTAAAACACGGCAGCCAATTGTGCACAGCAACGTCCCACAAACATTGAAGTGGATTGAAGTGACCAATTTTATTATTAAATTAAATAAAATTAAATAAAAGTTTGTTAAGAAAAGTTAGAGATTTGTTTGTGAAGTGTTAAAATTGCTGCATTTTTGTTAAGTGTTTTAGTATTTTATCTCAGTTTGTTTGAATCAAACATTCCTTTGCCCAACAACAGATGAAGAATAGACATGCCTTGCAAAATGCTATATAAAAAATAAACTAAACGAAGGGACATTTTAAAAATGATTTAAAATAACTTCTATCCACCTCATTGGGAGAGGATTATTCTTCTAAAAAGAAAAAAAAACATGGTTTCCTGTTTTAAAAGAATAAACATAAGAGAAAAATAACACTTTTTAAAAAAAAAACTTTTTTCCCAAAAAAAGTGCGTTGCACCACAGGACCTCTCGCACCTCTGAAAAATTAAACTCGACAGATTCAAACTGTCCTATTTCCACTTCAAACGAGCAGGGGCTATGCTCTCATCCTGACTCATCTTCAAACAGCAGCGCCCCAGAAACTTTCTTTCAGGCGAGGCTGAAACAGCCTCCAACTCCCTCAAGCACTCTACTGGTTACTGTAGCTGCTGCCTCTGCCTGTCCTAATTATACCCATGTGAGTCTATTAATCAGCTGGTAAATTATTCAGTAACCCTCTTCTCTGCCTTCAGCTAGTACAAACATGCTCTAAGCAACGGCTAGAGGGAAGTGCAGGGGAGGTCCCACTGGATCTCACTCAGAGATATTCTGTGTGTTCAATGTCTCCTGAACTCCCTGCTAATGACAAGGGAGATGGACTCTGGCGGTGCCTGAATCCTGCCCTTTGTTCAATATCAGAGCACCGTCAGTGGAAGGTCAGCAACCTTACCTGGTTGGCCTTGCTCGACATAACTTTGCACTGCTTCCCCAATCTTAGTCTGGGCCGCCGTTGCCTGTTTCAGTAGATGTCCAGAGGATACTGAATAGAATATAAGACATGGTCAGAAAAACTTCCAGGGAGAGAGAGAAAAAAATACAAAGTCATATAAATGATCCAATAGAACTAAAGCTCCAATAAGTGCACACAAATGATTTCATTATCCCTGTACATTGCATTTATCCTCACGTGTAGATTTTAAATTACTTCCAATTACCGAACAGATCAATTTCAAGATCCTCTCACTCATTTTCAAATCCCTTCAAGCCCTTGCACCTTCGTACCTATCCGATCTGCTTACTCTCCCACTCCACCATCCGCTGCCTCCGCTCCGCTGGCTCCGGCTCATTTGTCCCTCGCCCTCTCCGCTCCACCATCAGCCTTCAGCCACTACGCCTCGAAACTCTGGAACTCTCTCCCTCAATCCCTCTGCCTTGCCCACTCCCTCCCTGCGTGAAGGGCGCTATATAAATGCAAGTTGTTGTTATTGATGCTGTCTATCTATATTTATTCATAAATTCCAGTTTCCAAATGTACCTCTAAGGAAACACAAGCCTGAAACGGAGACTGACAATGGTCCTATAAAGTCAAAAGTCTGACTGAATGAGCACTCACCATCCACTATTTTGTATTTTTCAGCAATCATGGCTGCCTGCAGGTTTTTCCCACAGCCGGGCGGACCATAGAGGAGAATATGCGGTGCGTAGGGAGCCACAGAACGATGACGGCTATGGACAAAGGTCATGACTGTGTAGAACCAAAATGAGAAAAGTATTCAATTAGCATCCTGAACTGTTTGCTAAAGACTGACAATGTGACAAAGCAAAAGATGCTCATGCAGTATGAATAACAACAATTACATTTATACAGTGCCTTTCACTTTGGAAGGATGTCTCAAGGCGCTGGACAGTCAAGGGTTTGTATCTGAGCTGGGAGTTGGAATCAAGAGAGGTAAAGGGTAGGGGAGTTGGGACGATAGTGGATACAAAGTCAAGTTAATAGGAAAGGTAGAATTAAAATCAGGCAGGGACAGAAACATGAAAGTAGGGCTGAGAGGAGAGGCAGTGGAAAAGAATAGAGTGGTCAAATGTATCGAAACCGGCAGAGAGAGAGAGGACTAGGAGACAGAGAGAGTCCTGGTCACAGCTGGACAGAATATTATATGTAACTTTGATCAAGGCTGTCTTCGGACATTTACAATTTCTTTTAAAAAAAGCTAATTCTTCTTACAAAACACAAGCACTAATTATATAACAACAACTTGCATTGTTTTTTGCATTTGTATTGCGTCCTTCACGTGGGGTAGTGTTCTGGGGGAACCTTAACACATGGGAGAAAATAATTCTGGTAATCTCTAAGAGTGAAAACAATGGGACATCTTAAGCACAACACGGGCACTTTCTTTTTAAAAACAATCCTGTAGCTCAGTGGTTAGAGCACTCGCCTCGCAAGCGAGAGGACCTGGGTTCGATTCCCAGGCAGGGCAAAACTTTGGGCAAGTTTCCTTACTCCACACGCTTCTGTTTACGTAGCAGTAAATCAGAACTCGGTTATTAGTCGATTGGCAGATCATTTTCCCGGGGGTAATAATCCCTTCAAATAAATAAATAATACTTTGGTCACTCAGTTCACGACTGTTTGTGGGACATTGCTGTGTGCAATTGGCTGCTGCATTTCGCCCACAAAATGTACAGTCAATTCACTTTACAGTTTATTCTGTGAAGCGCTTTGAGACGTCTCAAAGACGCTATATCAAATGCAAGGATTATTATCATTTATTATTATAAAGCAATCATTTCAAGCAGGCTGGGGAAATGCCTGCACACACGAGAATTTGGTGTCAATTTCATAGTTAGCTAAAAGTAACTAAAGTGTGTTACTCCATATTTTAAGATCTTCTCCGTGTAAGTGGGGTTCAGAAAACAGTTTTTAAGTTAAGTTTAAGAAGGTAGGTTTTTAAACCAATCACAGTGATTGGTATGTTGACTGTGTTTTGAATGGCGCTACCCTGTGTGAAAGGCACTATATAAATGAAAGTTGCTGTTGTTGCTGCCTGGTGGAAGGAATATCCTGTTTCATTGTAGTATAACTTATACTAAAAAATTGCATAAAGTGTTCAACATTATAGACTGATGTAATATTACCTACCCTGTGAAAGGACATCAACAGTGGGCTGATCAGCATTAATGACTTTGCAGATTTTCTTGTAGCTGCTCTGTACCCCATGGCTCTCCCTGCGATATTCCAATAGTCTTGTTACAGTGGCTTTCTCAGTTAATCCCTCTGGTTCCCTGAGAATGCCTTGCTTGTCAGGGTCTTCTGGCCAGTTAAAGGTTATGTGATAGACTTCTAAAACAAGACAAAAGGCAAGGTTAGACAAATCTGCTGGTAAAGCTCGAGGCCAAACATCAGCTACACTTTTGAGTCAAATGTAACTTTATCTTTGTTCAAATCAGAAAAACTGAGCAGTTTAACGTTCTTCAATCCCTTTTTCCCCCCTGTTTCTTGATATGATGAGCCCATTTTAACTGTGGTCACCAAACAAATCTACATTTGTTTCCCAACATTGCCTAAAAGTATCCTCAATTAGATAAACTACGACAGGCACATATTAAACCAATTATTTTTCTCTGATGAAAAATTACAGCCTCTGTAGTCTATGAGGCAGAGCAAAACAAAATGCAAAAAACAATGCCCATTTGGCACTGCATGTAAGATTGAAATAACACCCAGCAAATCTCTCTCTCTCTCTCCACATACAGATATATATCTACATATATACAGGAATTGTGACAGTAATGGTTGAAGACTAATATGCGGAATTCCTTTGATAAAGAGTTAATAAATAAATAATAATTCATACCTTCGGTGAAGGGGTCAATTCTTTTCCCGAGATTTCTTTCAATTAGCACGGTATCAGGAGCATCGAGTATGACTGGGGGTGGAGAGAATGCAGTTAATGTGTAATTCTACAAAGGCATTATGAAGCAAGTTGACAGCAGACTTTACGCCAATTTAAACTGAGCTGTAAAATGATCTAATTCACTGAACAGTATTTCTCTAGCAGCTGCAGTAATGCGCCATCTGGTATTGTTCTAGGACAGGGACTGTGCTAGAGAAGATGCCAATCGACCTCTTTAATATTGACCAAGTTAAATACCATCTGAGAATACAAACTAACATTTATTTACACTGTAGTTCCCCCTGAACCTTATTTACATGAAATCAATACCATGAGTCCATAAAGTTACAAAGCCAATATTCCGGGCCATTTACAAGTGACACTCTCAATAGATACTCATTTTGTAATTTCCCAACAACTGGTACATACAATGAAGGCAGTGAACACATTGATAACCACCTGCCAGAGACAAAATGGGTTAACCAGCAGTTTCCAGATCGACTGACATTGGTTGAACGTATACGGGCACTTATAATGGACGCATTCATTCTACGAAATTGACATTAAATGTCCAAGATTAAATAATAATAATCCTTGCATTTGATATAGTGCCTTATCACATCGTTGAGACGTCTCAAAACACTTCACAGGATATATTGTAAAGTGAATTGACTGTATATTTTGTGGGCAAAATGGGTCAGCCAGTGTCCCACAAACAGTCATGGATTGACTAACCAATTTATTTTTGAGGGATTATTACCCCCGGATAGCAATACGCCAATCGACTAACAGCCTACTTGCGGCTAGGTGTGTGGAGTAAGGAACCTTGTCTAAGGTTTTGCCCTGCCCGTGAATCGAACCCAGGTCCTCTTCCTTGCTAGGCGAGTGCTCTAACCAATATGCTACAGGGTTCCAAAATAATGACTAAACCAAAATTATCTCAATGACTGATCTGATGAGTTGTTTGTTAAAACACTAAAATGGCTTGGCAGACCTGTTGCCACACATCATGGGAGTCATACTGCAGAGACTGCATTCAGTTTGTACCAGAGTTTCAAACCCAATCTGATCTTCAAGGAGGCTCCACTCTTGGCCTCCTCGGTTCATGTCATACATTGAAGGTATCAACCGGACATATGCAGAGTTCTTCTGCACCGATAAGCGATCTGCATCAGTCGTTCACGTCATGACTAATGTGAATCGTCTCCTTTGTAGCTCGGGTTAATCTGGTTATTAAGGCATGGAGTTTTTTTAAAGTCGGAATTTGACTGCAGTGAACCGCTGTACTATTTATAGTTACATATGGCCTGTCAATCCGCTGAACATTCACAATAAATGCAAATGCTGCAGTATTAATGAGCTACGGAATGTCATCTCAAGGACATCGAGGCGACAGCAGAGATTGCTTTTCATGCAGGCCTGGCGTTTTCTCAAGAGATGCTATTACTAGTCATATAAACATATTAAAAATGTTCACAAGAAAGGGGAAATGAAATTACACGAGAACCACATTTCCATGATTTTTTTTATACGAAAACCAAACTATTCAATTATTTACAATTTATATTCTTGTGGGCAAGAGGACCATTGAATAGTTCTACCACCTGCACTGCTGTCAACCAACTGTCAGTAACTGCAATGCTGCCAATTGCATCTGAAGGTACCAACACATGGGCTGTACGCCAGCGCAGGGGCTCCCACATCGCACCATCGTGACAGACGTCCCTGAGATGGCATCGTGGTGAAGCAAAGTAACAGGTGAACAGAGGATAAAGATGGGAGAGGGTAATAATGTAGGAGCGAGCTTGTCAAATCTTCTGTGAATTGATCAATTTGTGTGGGATCAAATCCTGTAATGAATGGAGTGTGCGCAGAGTGCGATCCAGCTGGCGGCTTGCAAACAGACCTATTGTATGATACGAATCACTCAGTTTCTGCCACAAGTATTAAAGCCTCAACAACACATGAATAATCATTTGAGTAAATGATGTGGCTGATCCCTTGGAGTGAAAGAAAATTAATGTGTCATGGTTGTTTGTGGAGCACTGCCACTGCAAAGTGAGAGGAGATATTTTTCTTGACAAATAAATGTTTTGATGGAAGATTATTCGATGTAGGAGAAAACTTTCCAGTTATTACCCACCTGCGCCTAATACTCTCCTAATGAGGTAAGCAGGGTGCACCGTCCCTATAGGGAGAGAGTACGCCCATTCCATTTCAAACAGGGAAATTCTCAATGCGGAGTTGGCATAAATATGTGGAACTTTCAGTCTGGTTTGGATAATGTTAAGCATGGGTCAGACACTGGCTGACCAAAAAGAAAATTCAGTTTCTCAGATAATTGCTGCCCATGTTGAGACTGCATGGAAGATAATCAGCAAATAATCTATACTCCGATATCATGAAAAGAAGGCCAAGAGCAAAACTGAGTCTGTCTTAAATCTGAGAAAGATCCACTCTCAAAAAATCTGCTGTCTTTTCCACTCATGAAGTAAAGAGATAAATCAATATCTCACTTGCTGGCATCTATTATTCTGTTTATTGAGTCTCTGGGACAAAGCTTTGGGCTCCTTTGAAACTATATTCAGTAACTGTGGCTTCTAAGGTGTGTTCATTAAACCTTCTGAATTTTTCAATTCTGATGATGGCATGCGTTACCTGAAATGAAACATTCAGCAGATTCAACTAGTTAGGGATTTGCTCGGTTTAACATTTCAAGAGCATCAGACAGAGCAGGAAACAAATCTTCTTTTGGGGTATTTTGAGTCACTTTCATGATGCATTCATTCCTCTGACAAATACAGGTGTTGAGAGAAGGCTTGGCTTGGTGGTAACTCTGAAATTTCACAGGGGCTATTAAAACTGGGACATGTACACGTATAAAGTTTGGCAAACAAGGGTATAGCAGAACACAAGACTTAAAAATAAGGATGAACTTTAGAAAATATGGAATCAAATAATTTTGTTTGAGGTAAACCGCTTCCTGTGGTAGTTTTACATGTCATTATTTGTTCTTTAATTGAAATGCAATACTTTTATACCCATCATATGGTAAAAATATCCAGAGGAAAGTTAAAAGGCTTCCTAGAGGACAACTGGAAATATAGCAAGAACTTCCCCAAGGTGCCAGCTACTTCACGCAAACATCTGTTCACTCTGGATTTTGAACTATAAACTGATCAAGGCATTCAGTACATGGCCCTGAATTCCCACTCTTCTTACATGTAGATATTCTGCTGTATTTACCCGAACACAATTGCAAACATACGAAGAAGAACAGTAATGATATGATTCCAGAATTATTCTTGTTTGCTTTTATTGGTGTGTGTACAGCCAAAGATTTGATCCAAGATTATAATCTAATATTTATAACCCCAGTATTCCCTGATCATGGTCAGCTCTTTCCTTGCATTTGTTGTTGTATTTCACGAGTTTTCCTGTGTTAACTTCTAGCTCCCAAGAGAGTATCAGCATTCCTCTTTTCTTTCCCTCTGTGTTCAGGATTCTTTGCAGACATGTTCAGGTATGGTAACAATTTATTGTGTCTGTGCCACTGACCTAAAATAAACTCAAGGTTTGAAGCACAGCCTTAATCCAGGGGACTGTGCAGTAACACATTATACCACTGGCCCTGATTTGAAACTAGCTCACACACAATACTGGCCTGGTTTAAAACTAGCTAAGGCAGATGGAATGAAACTCTCTGACAGCTGTTAGGACTCCTAAGTGACATTAGTTTGGTCAATCTCAAACTGGTTCCCAACAGACATAAGTTCCATAAGACTGTCTTCCAATTCAGTAAAGACTGACATTAAATTGTCAATCACACTCAGAGACGGGCTACAAGTTGGATCAGTGTGGGAAATGGAAATGTTGCATTGATGCAAATGGGGATTCTTTAGTGTTCAGATTCAGTGGAGTGTACAGAGTCCTCTGTGTACACGGAGCTCTAACTTACAGTATACCCAAGTTTGACAGTCTCTCTGGTTACAAAGAAAATAGACTTGCAACTCAGCAGCAGAATTTGTACTGAACTCTAATGGTCACAGAAGTCATGGGAAAAATACCTATTGTCTTTCTATGTCTTTCAGAGGCAATTTGGCTTTGAGAAAACGATGGGTCAGATTTAACTTGTTCATTCTCAGTTTACATATCCGACACCTGAAATTCCAATTTGTCTTAAAATCTACAACTGTGCAAAATTATGGAATATTCTTAAACTCGGTCATAATATAGATGCCAGTTTTATAATAACACAATAACATAACACAGTACAACATCATATAATATAATCCTTGCATTTGATATAGCGTCTTATCACATCAGTGAGACGTCTCATAGCATTTCACAGAATATATCATGAAGTGGATTGACTGTATTTTTGTATATTTTCTATAGTTCTTAAAAAAAATCAGCTTCTAAATTTTGACTGAATTTAAGAATATTCCACAATTTGGCAAGATTTTACATTTTAAGAGAAAACGTAAGGGAATTTCAGGCTCAGACTATCCTCGTGATCAGGTAGGATAAGGTCTATATTTTTACTGCACTCATCACCTACAGCAAGACCAAACATGATGCACCAGGAGACACTGGATATAGATTTCATGCAGATTGAAGGAGCAAGCTTGTGGCGCAGTGCACTCATGCACTAATTTTTAATTTCCCGCTGGTCGAATTTCGGTACTTTTCAAAGATATTCTCTCATCTTGATGTCGTCCACTTTTATATGAGTTAATGTGCGCAAATCAATACATTATTCTTTGGGTATTGAAAGTCTGCCACCTTTGATGAAATATAAACTTTCTTTGGTCTTAAAATTGTGGAGGGTGTGGGGGAATTACCCCTATGAAGTGCAAGAGACCAGGCCCCTTGTCAATCATTCAATGTTTTAGAAGATTTATAATTGATTTACACAAAATATACAGTCAATTCACTTTACAGTATATTCTGTGAAGCACTTTGAGATGTCTCAAAGACATGATAAGGTACAATGTCAAATGCAAGGATTATTATTATTATTTATTTGATGTAGATACCCAACTAAATAAGGTTTGTAGTCTTTATTATTAAATCATTATTATTAAAGGACAACTTGAGAATCAGCACAATAATAATCTTGTTTTAAGCTGAAATCCAAAATCTTGTTACTGAGAGAAATAGGGGAACGGAAATAATGCCATTTTACAATAATGGATTGTTCCTAATCAAACAGTACCATAAATTGGAGACCTTTTGTTGGGATACTGAATGAAAGAAAGGCTTGTTCTCAGTGGTTTGTCTCTACCCCACAATCAGTTCTCAATCCACTATTTGATAAAGATACAAAAGTTGCAAGCTTTCATATCTTTGTCTACAAACTACACAGTCACTCCACTTTACGGTAAATCCTATGAAGCACTTTGAAATGTCCTCCTGACCCAAAGGTGCTCACCCAAGGTAACGGTATCTATGTTAACTTACCAACATGATCCGGTGCCACTCCCATTTCCTGCAGGACAATCGCCTGCTCCCGAGAGACAGGAAAACCCACCAGGACCCAACCCTGAAGGAAACAAATGATGAGAAGAATTGTAAAGTGCCAGAACTGGTTACTTGAATGACGTATCCCAACAAAATAAAACTGAGTTTGTTTCAGAGCAACTCATCTAATATTTCTACTCTTAAACACCTCAACGTAATATTTCAATAGCAACATCAAGACCATTTTAAGAAGCCCATTTAATTTTTCATGTTTCTTTGACAACTTACATAATGTTAAAAAGCTGGATGATAGTTTAGCTACATTGGTGTTAAGCACCTTTAGAGAAATAAAAGAAAGGATACATTTTTTTCATTGATCGAAACTATATTGGTGGAGTCCTGTAGCTCAATGGTTAGAGCACTCGCTTTGCAAGTGAGAGACCTGAGTTCAATTCCAGGCAGAGGGCGAAACCTTGGGCAAGTTTCCTTACTCCACACAGAGCCTAATAATAATCCCTCCAAAAAACCAAAAACAATAATAAATTGGTCATTTTCAATCTACGACTGTTTGTGGGACATTGCTGTGTGCAATTGGCTGCCGCGTTCGCCCACAAATATACAGTTAATTCACTTTACAGTGTGTTCTGTGAAGCGTTTGGGACGTCCTCCCGACGTGAAAAGCGCTATATTAAATGCAAGGATTATTATTATTATTATATTGCATTTCCCTGGAAATATAAAATATTTTAAACTTCAAATAACTCATTACTGTATTGTCCTGTTTTATAAAATGTTGCAATCTTTCATAACAAAAAAACCTTAACTTTTCAGTTTGCCTGAAAATATTCCTGCATACTACTGTTTACCTGAATTTATTTGAATTCCTTAATAGGATTAGACACATTGTTCTGCAATGTTGGACCTAAAAGCCAACATTTGAGTTCTCAAACTGCTTTACATTGATTCTTTGGTTCCAGATTTAACCGATAAAAATCTAGACTGGGGAATTAAAAGGAAATCCACTAAAACGGAATCAGTCAAATGTATACTTGATTTATAAAAGCAACAATAAAAACTTCCCAAAAATGTCATGAATATAAAAGCAAAGGCAACAAGAGGCAAGACTGCGGTAACACAATCAACATAAACTGCACATTCGTTAGTTACAAATGAGAGGATCTTGCTAATGGAACATCCACTCCTAGGACTAATAAACAGGAACTGTGCTGAAAACAAATCAGTTCCCACTTGCCCTTCTTAACAGAAAATGTAAATGTATTACCAGCACTCTTTGAAAGTTAACATTTATAGACCTGAATAATGTGTGCACAATTGACTACCGCATTTCGTCTACAAAATAAACAGTCAATTCACTTTCCAGTATATTCTGTGAAGTGGTTTGAGACGTCTCGAAAACGTGATATGGCGTTATATCAAATGCAAGGATTATTATTATTGTGGTGTCTGTCTCAAGTGCTCTTTGATAAAAGTTTAAATGATTTTCTCAAATACTGAAACAGGGCTAGATTGTCACACTAAAAGCACCATCTCTTTAGGTTTTTCACGACAGTGTAGGAACGACTGACAAACAAATGCCAGTAAAATACGGATATGTACACTCATCTAATACCTCAGTTTCCATTCACTCCAAAAGCAATCTATGGAATTATACTTCTCAAACATTGTAAAATTATTTACTTCTACAAGGTACTTCTTGAGACTCTTCCTTTAGAATAAATTGACTGCCAAAGACCAGCAGATAGGTAGAAACAGATTATTTATGAACACTTGCACAGATCTCTGTGTTTGCTGCCATGTCGGGCTCAAGACACTTCTCCTTATATAATGAAAAATAAGCACCTCTGCAAAAGGTTCCCAGTTGCAGGGAAACTGATAAATCAATGGCTGAGACACAATTAGGAAAGATTCTGACAGTCTTTTCTGGCCATGTTGTTTTGGAAATGTTGCTTGTTTTTATACGTGTAGCTTTTAAAGTCATGTTTCAGATACTAACTATTAAAAAACTTTGGCATTATTCCAGGAGCGGTGTTTAAAGCACAATCGTTTTGGAAACCGTTCCTGCTTTATTACACTGGAAGACAGTGTTTAACAAGCACTTGTAAAGTGAAGGGAATAGAGAGAATGACAGAATCAAACCTCACGTATGTAGTTGCTCAGCTGACAGAATTGTACACGTTTATGAGTGACATGAAACGTTATGCTGTAAAGATTAGCACCCTGCCCAATTATTCTTTCTGTATACATTCACTCACTCTTTCATAACACTTTCCTTCTGTACCTTTGTGCTTTCCCCAAGCCCCTCTGGCATTTTAAGTGCTGATTAGTATAGTTAGTTTGGTATTATAATTGTATTTCATATTTAAATACACATTTAATTCCCCTGCACTTTCATAAACTACAATCATCACAACTAAGATGTTACGGTTTACATTTATACCTCTCCAGCTACATTTGTGATTTATTATGACATACAAATCCATATAATTGCTTATCGATTCCAAAGTAGAAAATGGATCCCATTTTAATTTAGTTATTCCAGGAACTGTGGACTCCTGTAGCTTAGTGGTTAAAACACTTGCCTCACAAGCGAGATGACCTGGGTTTGATTCCCAGGCAGGGCGAAATGTTGGGCAAGTTTCCTTATTCCACACGCTTCAATTTATCTAGCAGTAAGTAGGAACCCAGTTGTTAATCGATTGGCGGATTTTTTTTCTGGGGGTAAAAATCCCTTAAAAAATAATAAGTTGGTCACTCAATCCACTGTGCGCAATTGGCTTCCGCGTTTCGTCCACAAAATATACAGTCAATTCACTTTACACTATATTCTTTGAAGTGCTTTGAGACGTATTAAACACATGATAAGACACCGTATCAAATGCAAGGGCAAAAAAAAAACTGCAGTGTTATATTTCCATGGTCTGTCCCCATTGTATGTGTTTTTTAAATCTTTCCTGGATGTTATTTTTAACTCCACTTTGCAGTTAGATGCAGTTATATTCATCAAGATATACGTTCTGGTTTGTAGCTAACGTTTGGTTTGCCGCTCTGATAGGATTACAAACAAAACAATGGAATCTAAAACAGGATAATTTATAACTGCAAATCCTAAATAAGAGCTAGTGCCTGTGACTGTATGTGCCATCACATTGGCCCAGGGGAACCCGCTACAATACCATCTACCTCAATTTACTGTGAGCTGGCGTTAGACAAGCACCAGCAGCAATCACTATCTTCCAATATGAATATCACAATTTCACTCTAATAGGACGAGCTAAATGTAAAATGATTAAACAGACAGAGGCAGACTGTGCAAGAGTTAATAGTTGCCAACTTCACTTGATCACAAACTGACTGATTCATCGCAGAGGCTCTCCAGCTTGTTTGGCCAAGGTTAATTGACATTCTGATCATCCTCTCCTTACCTCCAGTGAGTTGGTTCTTTTTATCAGACATCAAAAGCCTGTATGCTCTGAGCTACTTAGGCACGGCACTGATCTATGGACAGAACATCTGCATGAGTAAAGGAACTGAGGAGGGACAGGCAACTGAGCAGATGTCACAGGGAAAAGAGCTACCTTGGGAGTCAAACGGACGATCGTACAACACAGAGACTGTGACCTAACTCCACACTGACACAATGTACTAAAATCTATCCTTGTTAAATTTCGCACCTCGATGCACATACACAGATTTAAGTTATCAGGGGTTAATTACGCATTATCAATAAACAAAAAAAGGCAAACTAGACACAGTGAATTACGGAGGAAGTCAAACCGGAATTCTAACTGGAATTAAAGTTAAATGCCTCTTACATTTATGGGTAGTGTTGTGGTCAACTGCGTAATATAGTTGCCAATTGCACTAGCTTGGTTCAGGAACAGTTCCCAGAATCTAAGGGGGTCTGCAAAAGCAAAGTGAGTATACCACACGTAAACCATATGTAAACCAGGAGACCCGAGTCAAAAGTGATGAAATTCAAACTGGGAGAAAATATACCTTTAAAAAATGAGTCCATTCAGCACAGGTAACTGGATACACTGATTTAACAATTTGATGGAAGAAAAAAGGCATTTTTTCCAGCAAGACAGTTAACTACAAATTTGCAACACGCAAACTGGTAAGTGAGAACCAACGACACAATTTGGACATGTAAAATATTTGCTTTTATTTGTGCTTTGAATCAAAATCCGATTAGGAGCCAGACAGACAATATGTCAGAGCAAGATTTGTTGAACATAAAAGGATTCTTGGAGTTGACTGCTCTCTCTTTACTCGCTCTGAAATCTCAATATTATTTGAATTTTTTTTTAAAAATCATATAAAAGGTGTACAAATATTGTTTTGTCACACGTTAATTTCTCACTAAATACTTCCTCTTCTCATTCCTGTACCTGTGCAACACCCAGAGTGAGGTATGCGTACAAAGGTTTTGAAAGGTGAGATTATGTGCAATTAAACTTGCAAAATATCTTCATATTTTCAAAGTATTCATGTAACTACAGCAGACAGATTCAAAAATATCAGAGAGAAAATCGTTAGCAACAAGACAGAAAATGTCAATGGGACACAAGTGATACAGTATTTGAAGCCATAATTATTTATTATTACATGTCACAACTAAGACCTTTGACTTTAGAGAACCTGTGACAAATATCCATCACAATTACTGACATCCTAATGCAAAAACAATAGTCTCCCAAGCTTTAATAGCTTGCTGTAGTCTCAAACTTTATTTCTCAAGCATAAAAATAAATGTTTCAAAGAATTTTGACAATAATGATGTGAACTTCAATCAAAGTCTCTTCTAAAGTCGACAAGACTAGTCAAAGGTGGTACTTGAGGTTACTCAGTTACAATTATAGATGCGGATTGCAGGCTGCTCTGAACTACCAAGGATGGACTGTTCTCATGTGCATTGGGACTTCAGCAAAGAACCATGATGGTTTTGCGGGCAGTGCAAGTAAAATACAGTCAGACTGCAAGTGGGAAAACATGATAAAATGCCACAGTATTTTTCCAGTCTAAAACTATTCTGAACAACAAAGAAACACAACTCTAAAA